ACGAGCATGGATCTAGACATCACGCAGAGCTAGAAATCGAAATTAACCGTGGAATTCTTGCGCCACTGAACTATTAATGCTATGAACACTTTCTCAGCGGGACTTTTTGAAATGAGAGTCGCGCGTAACCATATATCTTTATAAGAGCTTCATAAATGATTGTATTATTGTTTTAAAATTACAAGAACCGAATTTTATAACTGCTTAAAAGACGCGAACATTCCTTGAATTTACGATAATTTATAAGCAATTGTTTATACTTTCCGAAATTGGCTTCGAAATGAAAAAAATCTGCCCGGAGCAGAGGAAAATAGAATTTTTAATAAAACCATTCAATGATCGTCCGATGTTCGAGCGAACGATGTTAAACAACCTTGTAGTTTTCACACGAAGAGACTCACGAACGGACGGAAGCTGTACAGTCAACGATAACCGAAACTAATTGCAAGAAGAAATAATCATAATGCGAATCGCGAGCAGTAGTTTTGATCGATTAACAGGCGGAATGTTTAATGTTTAATAACGCAGTCGGCCGGTTGCACAGGTGCGAAACGCGGCCAAATGAAGACACGCATGTCCCTGGCAATTAACGCGCGCAGTTCAAATTAGACGGAGTTACGGCGGAAGAGGGACCCAAAGCCGCTAACGAACCAACATAGCCGAGTCACCGCTCATTGATCATCGCATTGGTAACCGGACTCTGTTTACATTTCAGCAAACGAGCAAACGCCACGGACTGCTTAAAATAAATGCTTCGAATTGCGCGGCACGTGTTTGAAAAGCACCGCGATTTCTTTTCGCGCGCAACGAGCGACTCGCCGCGCTGTATAATATTATGTTTGATGACTTGATAAATTCTTCGACGCACGTGTCACGATCACGTTCGCGAGAGGATAAAAAAACGATGATAGGCCTCGTTCTAGACTCTTCAGCGCCAATTATTCGTGAACGCACGATGAAATTTTTGAAACGGACTAATGAAAGTGAGACTCTGGTCTTTGATCCAGGTTGTGTCCTGGATTGCAAGATTCCTGCGTGGATCAATTAAAATTGCAGATGGATCGATTAAACACACAGATGATGGCTCGTTTTCGATCCACGTTCGTGTCGTTATCGTATTGAACTGCGTGTCATCTACATCGTTATATCGAATACCAATCGTTCGATGCTTTGCAAGCAATTATCTATTATTAGTAGCAATCATTTGCAATTATCTGCAATTATCAGTAAAATGTTAATTTTTCTAAAAAGTATCTGAAGCAAAACTTATCTTGTTTCGGGATCGACACGTGCATTTTTATTGAATTTTGCTAACAATTTTGCCGACTTTTCACATTAGTTGTAATTGGATCTTTACCGACAGATAATTTCGCAGGTGGCCATAAATTTTATTTAATTCATGGGATACGTATTAAGAAAAGATTCGTCAGATTTTCATCGACATCAAATAAAGGAACATCAAACTATGCCATATTCCAGTGTATGATTTTCAGTCATTGATAGATCGATTTTCACATTTTTTAGTAAAGAATCAATCGAATGTATAATTTACATTAAAATATATTAAAACATAAATTTCGTAAACGACAGGAATTATTCTCAACAATTAATACCGGACACAACAACAATACGTAAACAATTTGCTAACTGAATATAAGTAAATAAGAAGAGATTGATTAACTCGTCAGTTAATTATTTTAATAAAAAATTTCATATTTTGATGTATTTTGCATTGAAATTTTGGATATTTTCACAAAAGTACCGATCAATACATTCTTTACTTTTACTCGAAATTCAAGTTTCAAATAATTAAATGATAGTCAGTCAGGTGTCAGAACTCCATACGGTTTCAAAACACGAGCCAAATATAGAATTTTGAACTTTCTCCTACATCAAGATTTACTACGCATACATATATACATATAGACGTGAATAAGAAACACACAAGTGTAAAACATCTAGTATTTTTGTATAGATAAAATTTTAGAAATTCTTCGTCGAAGTTGTTTGATTGTTGAGTCAAAGCTATATCGATAGAACGCGGAGAAGACAATGTTCCGCCGATTTTTTACTTCGCGATCAACTACCAATCAATTGATTTATCTTTAAATGTTCACCATGGCATAACGATGAAAATGAAACTCTATGAAAACACGATGTTGACGCACGATGGAAAAATGAAGGACGACGGCTGGCTATTTAATGAGTTTCATAGAAATGCGACTTGCATGCAATGAAATATTTAACCGAAATTGTAAACTTGACTGAACATCAATTTTGTAACTTTTTCTATGCATACAATGAATACAAGAACAAGGATCCTTTCAGGAATTTTTGCCCGAGAAAATTATTTAAATGAGGGATGCCAAGCGTACGGGCATAAAATATCTCGTGTAAAATCGAAGTTTAAATTTAGATGACACCTGCGAGCTTACAAGAAAGGAATTTTTTTTTTAAATAAAGATGGAAGCTGGCTACAGGGGACCGTGGAAATAATTTCACACACAGTATCGAAAACGCGTTCTTAAAATATACGTTTTCACATAACAACGTCACGCCATCTACACATCGTGTGCCAAAACAATAGATTATTCTCAATTATCGCTAAAATTATCAGCAACCAAGAACTTACAACAAGGGAATTAAAATGAAAAATGGGAATAAAAATATATACAGGGTGTACACGGATTTACGGATTTATTTCTAATCTTTCTTTTTCATAAACGGTACATTCTACGGAAAAATGAAAGAGGACAAAGTTGTACTGTTTTTTATACGCACTATACCTTTCACTTTTTTTTTATATTGCATAAAAATGAATATGAAGACGAATTCAGCGGCCTTCACATTTACACGAGGTCAGGAACGAAAGAAATAGTTTGGATATTGATGTATTTATCGGTGTTTCATATTAAGATGTTCAATGAATATTTCACATTCTACACTTTTGATGGCTTTACGTTTTACGTTGGGTTTGTATTGTTAGAGTGTACAAAACGTACGAGACTATTTGTCAATGATATTTGGCAATGACAAGGCCAATGATATTTATTTATGACATGAACGTGCTTCCAGACTGAGTATATCAAATTAAGAACTTTTAGATACTTTTTGCATGCCTCAAATTTAGAGAATCTACAGCCAAAGACCCTCCCCATCTCAGTTAATTTCAAGTGCGAGGAATGTTTTCTTTTTCCGCAGAGTAGCAATTGCCATGTTGTAAACACATGCGTGCCATGCGAATCGTTTACGACACACCGCCTTCTGTAAAGTGTAAACGATTTGAAACGGAAAGTAGTAGACGCCTGTGCATCGATATCGCAATTACAAACAGCAGAAGCCACCAAAAGTGCATTGCATAAAGCATATTCTAGTAAATGAAAGTCGTGCAAGCAATACGTTTTAATATTAGACATCGGTAAGTACGTCAATACGCAATATACGGAACTACTTTTCTCGTTCCTAACCTTGTGCAAATGTGAAAATCATTGAGCGATACATCGTTGAATTCATCTTCACATCTTTCATGCAATATAAAAAAAAAATCCAATGTTCTAATTTAAAAAATTGAAGGTTTAGTTCTCAAAGAACAGTATAACATGAAACATTTCTACGTATCATTATATTACACACGAAAAACAGTACAATTTTTCCTTTCGATTTTTTTCCACAGCATTACCAGTTATGAGAAGAGATACCGTATGACTGGGCCGTAAATCCGCGAACACCCTGTACATAAATATAACGCAACGTACGCAGGCACCAATGCACCTCCGTGCAACGAATTAAAATACAAAACGCGACAAAGAGAGAGAGAGAGTAGTTCCTAAGCGACGTTCGCATCGGATTTCACCGCAATTGCTCAACGCAAGACGGGGGGAAATATGTCGACTGTTCCCGAGCAGTTCTACGTACGATTCTAGAATAAACATTGCACAAACACGCTAAAATGCAGGACTCGACGTACTTTCAACGGGATCCATCTCCAACGTGATCGTCGTCGACGTGCTCGTCGACAAGATTATTACGTTAAGCGCGCGTGAAAAGCAAACCAGCCTTGACAGTGGCGGAAACCGTAGTTTCCCTGTCAAGTTTAAACCCCCGTCGCGATCGATCGACGCAAAATCTAATCCCTGGCTCGAGTCATGCCTCGAGATGTGACAAGCTGCGAGCCAAACCCGGCCGACAATTTCCGCGCGGTCACTGTCACCGGATTGGGGATTCGTCGGTGTCCCGATTATTATCCCTGACTCTTCTCATTGTCAATCAGGGCCGCAGACAATGACCGAACGTAGCTCCCCTCCTCCTCCTCCTCCTCCTCCTCACCCACTCACCCACCCTCTATCACCCTCGTAAACGAAGGGCCATGAGACGCGCACACGGCAGAGTAATTAAATCCGAGGAAGCCGCGGGTACGCACGTTCCGCGCTCGCTCCGATTCTATTTATTTACATACAAATCTCCTCGGTAAAAGGGGTTTGCAGAGGAAGGGAAACGATCAAAGACTACGGGGAGAGAGACAGACGGAGTCGACCCAGAAAAAAAAGAAAGAGAAAAAAAGAAAAAACCCGTCAATACCGTTGCACACGCTCCGCGTATAGTAATGTACAGTTAGGGCCCGTTTGTTTCTCCAGCCGTGTCTCTCGGGCACGTATAATTTCGCACGAATTTCCTCCATCGACGTGCGTAACTGTCAGAGGCACGTACATACGTGCAGCAGTTCGCGTTGCAATAATAAAAGATTGATATCGAGACAGGGCTAAATGGAGCCAGGAGAGAGACGCTCGCGCATTCTGTTTCACGTTCTTGCTCTCTGTTTCCTCTGTCCGCGTTTCCAAACGTACGTACAGGCATACATATGTATTAATTTCACGCGTATGTGTTTTCTTACGAAGTCCTTCGCAGAGGACTCGCGCGTTACAACAGTCTGTCTATTGTAATAGTATCGAGATACGAGATACCGAAACGTTAGAAAAGTTCACGCTGTCGCAGTCGCTCACCTGACTTTTCCGCCGCAGAATTGGCACGCCGAACCCTGCCAACCCTCGTGGCACACGCAGGTGCCATTGACACAGTCCCCGTTGACGCAACTGTCCGTGTCGCAGGTCGTATCCGCCGTCAGCGACGACGAGGAGGAGGAGGCGGCCGCGGTTACGTGCACCACCCAGCAGATCAGCGCCACCCACAGTATCGGCCACGGCACTGCAATTACACCGCACTGATCCCGTACCACTTCACGGCACTGCCCTTTCCGACGGTACTTCGATTTATATAGGAACAAAAACATCTGCACGACCTCTGCCATTTTGATAGGCTTCCATGTCAGAGACAATGGCCGACGGCGACGCACCGGACGAGACACATACGGGGCACCTTCTTCGCTCGCGTTTTCGATGCAACTCGCTTACTCGCTGCGCGACTACCGAAGTCGAGAGTATGCGGTCGCCACCGCGCGGCTCCCACGATGTCGCAACCACGGGCTACGACACTTGCCGGACCATCCTCATAGATGGCACAGTTCTGGTGATTTCTCCGAATTGGCAATAATTCCCACAGCTGCCGCTAGACGGCGCCGTGGACTCACGCGCCGCAATGACATCTACATATTTGGCCGATTCGCATGAAATGATTCTTTCTGCGCTCCCTAGTTCACTTCGTTTCACGGGATATTCCCGAAATCGTGGTACAACCAGAGTTCTATAAATAATATTCTATATTTAAAAATAAATTGGAAGATTTTTCACACATGACGCTTTGTTTTCGAGGCAATCGAGGTTGAAAATTTTATCAAATACGCGCTTGAATCTGACTAATTCTAGACGTGATTGGGGAAGAATAATTAACAGAAGATTGTTCCATGTGCAAACATAAGTAAGAAATGTGGAATAAAATTTCTTTGTAAGATGTTTCGTTCTCAAAAAAATCGAGCTGAAAATTTATCAAACATAATTTATCAAGTATCCAAGATAACTTTTAACAAAACATATTCAAAATAAAACTGTAAATGAAAAAATTTTATTCCACATTTGTTGTTTATTCATATGTCTTGAATATAAGATATTCTTCTATATTAATTGTTCTTTTCTGTCACGTCTAGAATTAGTTAAACTTGAGTATTTAGTCTAGAGTTAATAAATTTTCGAACTCGATTTTCTCGAAAATGAAGCCGTAAATCAAAAAAATTTATTCCTTTTTTTCATGTAAGATCACCTCCTGGCCAATTGTACCACGATTACACATATAGTAAAATTACACATATAATTTCTCATCTCTGCCAAAATTTTCAAGATACTTGTAGTATCGTAATAGTGAAGATATTAAAATATCATTATTGCTCTTAATTTTTATCAAATTTTTGTTTGTTAAAATATATAATATATATCATTTATAAACTTCTCAGGAATCTTTAAACGCATAAAATAGGTCGTGTCGCGTGATTGACGTATTTTACGCGCGTAATTATAAAAGGAATTATGTTAATTCCATATTTTGTTTTCTATTTTAGAAATCAATACAACAAATACAATTATATGTTTTATTGAATGGGAAGTATAATCATTATTGTTTTAGTTTTAATATTAAATATTTAAGGCACTTAAAAATAAAAACAAAAAACATGCAGCCACAAAAAAATCCTTTTTATTGAAAAGATGAAAATTTTAATATGTTATTACGATAAATATGAATAATTTCATTGAGTAGAAGTTTCAAAGTGAACCAACTATTTAAACACTTTATTATTCGATAAATACCATTTATAAAAATTGATTTAAATGAAAGTTTCTGGTAAGATCTGATAGATGGCAGGACATAATCACATTTTCAAACCTGGTTGAGAAGAGAAAAAAGTCCTACTTTTGCTACTTCCGCTTCGTAATAAACACTCCATATTAAAATTTGTAAGTGAACATTTGTGATATTCGGTAGAAAAAATAAACTGCAAAAAGACTATACATATTTTCCTTGTACGAGAACTTAGGCAGAATCCTGCCTTACCCACTCCGGTTCTTACATTTTCCTATTCTAAATAAGAAAATACATATACATATAAGATACGACATTGTGCGATAAGGATAGATATAATTATATCAGGTGACAAACAAGAAGCACGATAGTATGTGATGGATAACAATAGCGATTAATCTTACGTTTCACAAGTAGCATTTCAATGTCTAGAAATCGATTAAATTTTCATTTGCAAAAAAAATTTAATTAAAAGCATTAATTAATAAGTTGTGTACTCCAAATTAAAACTTTTTTGTTACATTTTGTTTGTATAAAATTTTATTCAACGGATCCGAAAGCTTCAAGATAAAATTGAAAAGTCTGAACTTTGTTCATAAAGTTTCATTGAATAATCAATGAAATTTTGCTATTATTATAACTTCTATAAACGATGGTATTTTTAATAATATTTTATTTAAACATATTTTTATTTTATCTTACAGGAATTGATAATATGTTCGTAAATAAAAAACATAATTTTTTTTAACGACAGTAAAATGATAAGTGTTAAACATAGATGAGATATAGAAACACATGATGCAGAATGCATTGAGCGTTAAGTTTATGCTATATTTCATCTAAAATTAGTAACAAAGATAAGTAAGCAGATAAACGGGTAAATAATAATTATTATTATTTTATTCTCTTTCACATTAATTTTTATTCCGTATCTTTCTATTCTTAAGTCTATGACACGGTGACACGATATCGCACGCGCAGTATTACTTAGGTGGTGAAGAAGAAAGGATCGGAGGAGGTTAATCATTTTTCTTTTTCGTTCAATTGCAATATATACATAAATAGTGAGACAAGATAACAGATAAAATCACAATTGTGCCATTAAAATTCTATTCACTGTGACAATTGTTAAAAGGGACGAAAAGGGAACTCGTAATTTAACATTTGTTCATCGTGATTTGAAGTGCATAGAGAATATGTTTAAAATGCATTATAAATAATTATCTACTTAACTAGTTTTAATTGCATCAACAAATGCAATTATAAGTGACATTAATTGAGAATCTCTCAGTTATAACATACATGCCACGTAAACGAAGAAAAAAGTTAGATACATGAAAGTATGATAGAAATATATAAGTTAATGCGATAAAGCGATCAATTTATCGAGCTTCTGGTTTTATAATTAAAGTGTATAAATGATGGCACCCACAAAAGACAAATGGGTGAGGCGTTTTATTATTCCAGAAATAACACGACATAAAAAAGGATTTACTATTTACAAAGTCACATCTGTGGTATGTGAAATATCAATATAATGTATATAGAATAAAATATATTTAAATTCATTTGCCTTTCTTGCAAGCTTAAAATATTATATTAATTTTAAAAATTAATTTTTAATACATATTCTAATAATTTAATGATTTTAGGTATTTTTGAAAAGCTCTCATGAAGAAGTTTCTAAAATATCTGTATGGAAACGTTATAATGACTTTAAGAAACTTCACTCAGAATTAAATGCACTATATTCACAGTCTAAAATCAAGGAAAGCTTTCCATCATTTCCAAGGCCAAAATTTTTTGGTAGATTTGAAACTGAAGTTATTGAAGAAAGAAGACAATGTGCATTAAAGTTTTTAGAATTTATAGGAAGGCATTCGTATTTATATTCTAGTGATATTTTCATAAAATTCTTTGAAACTAGTCATGGAGATTATTTAAATGATTGCTCTCAATCCCTTAGTTCTGATACATCTGCAGAGGAAGATCGTCATACTTATATAAATTCTCTGCCTAATGATGTTTCTCAGAATATTCTTCAATCTAAAACTTCTTTGACAAATTCATCTATTTGTAAAAATGAAATAAAGCAATCTCAAGAAATATCTGAATCTAGAGAACAAAGTTTACCACAAAATAATTTAAGTCATGAAACTAAGAAAATATCCATGACAAAAAGCACATATAACAATTTGCTAATAAAAGACAATGATCCAAATAAAATTATCCCTAAATTAGGGGATAATCAGTTAGTTTGTAATAAAAAGAACAATTGCTATAAAGATAAAAATTGTAATGTTAAGAACAATTCTCCAATTGTACAAACATCAGACACTAACATAAATACTGAGACTACTATTGATGATATAAATTCTTCAATAAATAATCATGATGGTTCTTCAATAAATACTCATGATGGTTCTGACCTATGTCAATCATGGACAGATTCATTACAATATATTTTAGTTGCAGCTGCACATATGAATGCAGCTTTTAAGCATGAAGATCTTACAGAGTATGAAGAAGCATTCACTCAATATAAAATGGGAATCTCTAGTCTTCGATCTGGTGTAGAAACTGATACAAACAAAATAAGAGCAGAAATAATTAAAGAAAAAATAACAAAATATTTAGAACGTGCTGAAAAGCTTTATAACAGATATTTAAATTGTAATATTTCAGTGTTGAATAAACCTATATCAGAACTTCAATATTATAAAGTATTGAAAATAATAGAATCAGTAATGCTTGTAAAGGACATTCGTCAAAATAGCCTTAATATTGTAAAGGTAATATTGTATAAATAATTTAAATATTCAATTCAATTAAAACAAAAATATGAAACATAAATTTAAAATTTCTGTTAATAATTTCAGGCCATAGAAAAATTATCTTCAAATAAAGAAAGTATAAGTAATTACATATTACGTGGTGAAGTACCATACATGGTCCGTTTACATGCATGTGTTGAAACAGAAACAAGCGTGTTCTTGATTTTACAACATTTGCGGTATGTATTAAAAATAATATTATTGTTCGATAATATTAAAAACTAATTACATTAAATTACATTGCAGTCGTGGAAAATTATGGGATTTTATAACATCACATTATAATTCCAATAATAAAAATTGTGATAAAGAAATTGTAAAAGATGATATTGAAAAAACAATCATTGGTAGTGATAATATTTTAGGGAAAAATGATGTAAATGAAATTGAAAGCATTAAACTCAAAGAAAATTTAAGACTTATAAGTACAAATACCAAAGTACAAATGGACATACATTCGATACATTCTTCTACGGTAGAAGAAAATTATGAAAAATATACCAATGTATCTACTACACAATTATTAGAGAACGCACAAATACTATTACAATCGGTTAATGCCACTTTAGAAGAAAGTAATTCTGTTGTAAATCGATTGTGTGAATCGGACTGCTTAAATCATCAAAATAATACTTCGTTATTCAATTTTAAAAACAGTATATATCAGACAAAAAGTTGTAATGAAGTGTCAGCAGATATTAATAATATATCATTAGAAATTGACAGTAAAAATAAATCCATTGCAAATGAAAAAATACCTGGAAAAAATGTGATAACTTCTAATTATTTGTCACAGAATAACATTACAAATACGAAAAGTCAGTTTAACAGTGCTAATTCATCATTAAGCAATAGTTACAAAAATCTTAATTTTGAAAAAAAAGAATCAACAACTTCTCCAACAGATAGTCTAAAGGCAGATAATACATTTTTTGCAATAGAAAATAAAAATGATATTTCAAAAGAACATGAATTAGATGAATTAATAGAAATTCATAATCAACTGGAAACGAATAATTATTGCATATCAAATAATCAGCAATCACTTCCAATAAAATCAACAAAAAACAATAATGTAGACTCTGAACAAGTACTTTGGACAATACCAGAAAATGTTATTCGTCTTTGGGCTGCTGAAATACTTTTAGCGCTAGAAGCATTACACCAGCAAGAAGTTATTGTATTTGATTTAAAACCCGATAATTTATTGCTCGATGACAACGGGCACGTGCAATTGACATATGTTGTACCTCGTCACGATATAGATTTATTAAAATACAAGTATCCATACTCATCGCCCGAATTATGCACGTTTTCACCTATGATTGTTCTGACACCAGCTACAGATATTTGGAGTTTTGGCATTATATTATATGAATTAATAGTAGGAAATGTATGTAAAAATAAAAATATAATTTTTTTACAAAACTATAATATATAATAGATATTATATAATCGTTTTTTATTGCAGAAATTTCAAGCAAAGCATTCAGGAATATTTCAGTCACATTCCATAGTTAACATTCCTAGCAAGCTTTCAAAAAATGCAAAATCTTTGCTTATTAATGTATGTTTTTATGTTGTACTTTATATTTAAATAATTTATGAACTTAAATTATGCATTTTTTTATTTTTTGAAAAATTTTTCTAATTTACAGATTTTAAAATACGAACCAAATGAAAGGATGACAATATCCGAGATAAAACAACACCCATTCTTCAAAGACGTTAATTGGTCAAATTTGGTAAATGCACTCTAAAACTATAAGAACTTGGTGCTTATTGCATTTTTAGAGAATGTATCGATATTTAAAAAATTCCTATAAATAATGGATTCTTTCAAAAACAAAAATTTGATTCTTTTGAATAAGATATATTTGAACAGTATTTTAAAAAGCATTTATGTATTTAAAAAAGTATCAAATGCTTAGATGTTATATTAATTATATGTTTTATAAAATTTATTAATTATATATTTTACAAGTGGAAAATTATGTTTTATATTATGGAAATAAAAATAATTTTTTTATGAATATCATTTATTATAAATGTATGTATATGTATATATATAATGATTTCTATAAAATATAAATTATAATATGGAATCCAGTATTTGGAATTTTTTTATAATGAAAGTATTCTATACATTCTTCTAATATATTTTCTATAAAGTACTCTATATACTATTGTACAAAAATATTTAAAAAATATCAGATATAAAATTGATTTATTTATATAAATAGATAAGTAGATTAAAAAGTATATAATATATTTACTTAGCTCCTATTCTTTCACTTCTAGACACTGTTGACATTCCATCAACAAATCTAGTTGTAAATACTACATTAGCATTGTTAAACATTCCATCCTTTAATGACACAATAATAAATTGTGAATGTTTAAAATGTTTTTTTAACATCGTACCAATATTTTCTGTATGAGAAAGATCTAACGCAGCGTCAACTTCGTCCAAAATATAAAGTGGAGCAGGTTTAAATAAAAGCATAGCCAAGATCAAGGACAAAGCAACCAAAGATCGTTGTCCTCCAGATAATTCTCCTAACGATTCTTTCCAAATACCGGAAAATCCAATTTTCACTTCTAATCCCTCAGTAACTGTTTGATTTTCAGGGGGTTGCAATTTTGCATCAGCTCCTGGCAATAAACTACTAAAAATTGATCCAAAATCTTTGTTTACCTAAAAATGAACGTGCAAATTTATATAATATACAAATTTAATATTTAAGTTAATTCAATTTAAATAAATTTAAATTAAACAATACTTGTTTGCAAGCTTCCATTAATGTTTCTCTCTTTTTTTCATCTAAATGTTTAATTGTTTCCAATATCTTTTTTTTATCATTCTCAACTATTTTCTTTTTCTTCATCATTTCATTATATTGTTCTTCCTCTTTATCAAGAAGACTAATAGCACGAGTATTGATACTTCGACTTAATTTTTCACGCAACGATTGCAACTGTCGTATTTTCAATTCCATTTCATTGGGTTTATTGACATTAAAATCATAAATACCACCTACAAAAAATATAAAATATAAATATTCTTATACTTTTTATTACTAGTTTACTCAAAAATTTAACACGTAATTTAAACGTAAAACAAGTATTACCAGGTTTCCCAAAGTAAATCTTATTCTCTTCAATCCATTCATATTTCCGTGTAAGTTCGGAAACTTTTTCATTACAATTTTTAGCAATATCTTTGATTGAATTAATTTCATGATTTAACTTTTTAATATCTAATTCTGCTTCTTTATTCTGTTTTATGATATCTTCTTTTCGTGTCGTAAGCTTCCGCATGTAAATATTTTGTTCATTAATATTGTCTTTTTGTTCTTTTATATTAGACTGTATACGTTTCACATTATTTTTCGCTTCATTTAACTCTTGTTCCAACGTAGTTACTTTTTCTTGTAATACATTCAACTTCTCTTCAGATGTTATTAACTGTTCTTTTTCTGTTTCAATACACTTCTGTAATTCTGTTATTTCCAATTTAAGCATTTCTGCTTCTTGTTCTCGGCTTTGCCACTCTTTACGGCTATTTTCAGCTTTTTTCTTTAATTTTTCTAACTCAGATTTAGCTTCCTTTAATTGTTTTTCACGAATATTACTAGCATCTTTCAATTGATGCTCCAAATTTTTAGCACGCGTAGTATTTTCCTTTTCATTCTTTTCTGCTGTTGCCATTGTTTGCAAAAGTATTTCAATATTTTTCTCCAAGGATTCAATCTGTAAAAAATGTATATTTAATAACTATTTATCTAATAACTAAAATACATTTATTTCACATACCTCTTCTTTTACTTTATAATATTCTGTTTGTTCTAATCTTTGTTTTATCATAGTGATCTCATAATTGCGTAAATCAAACGTTTGTTTTATTGAATTGTATTTTTCAGCATCACTATTCATATGCATTAATTGAGTTTCAACATTTTGAAGCATCTGTTTTTTGATATCTAATTTATTTTGTATAGTTTTTAATTCGTCTAATTTCAAAAGAACTGATCCAGTTTTTGATACTGCACCACCAGATAATGTACCCGCAGGATCAACAACATCTCCTTCTAAAGTAACACATTTTTTTCTTATATTATTATGAAATGCTATTTTTTTAGCAGTTTCTATGTCTTTACAAATAAAACTTTGTCCAAAAACCCATGCCATAGCAGATGTAATTTCTTTTGGAAAATCTATAAGAGACAATGCTGGTTGAACATTTTCTATGCCACCTATCTTCTGTGCCAAGTGAATTATTTGATTATCCATGGCTCTTCCATTTATTTTATTCAAAGGAATAATAGTTACACGTTTTTGTAACTGACCATGTTGAAGTAATTTTTTACTGGTAGTTTCTGTATCTACTATTACATTATATAACTGAAAGTTTATTAAAACATTAAATATGAAATATAAGCATATAAAATACTCTTTCTTAGAAAGTAAATTTTATACGAAAATCATTAAATACCTTCCCTCCTGCAACAATATCTAAAGCATATGCTGCTTTTTTATCTTTTACTGTGATTAACTTACATACAACTCCTTTCACAGAATTTTGATCAAAATTAGGTCCTGGTTTTTGATATTCAAATCTAATTTGAGGATATCTTGATTCAAAATGATCCACTTCTTCTTCTAATGCTAGTACTTCGTTCCTTAATGTACGTTTTTGTTCTGTCAATCGTTCTATGCATCCATCTTCATAATTTAATTTCTTTAATTCGTTTTCTAAATTTTTTACTTCTTTTTCTTTGTTTTCAAGATCTTTAGTGTATTTTTCGTACTCATCTCCTGTATTTTTCAAATCTACTTTCTTTTTCTCCAGTTGTTTTCTATTATGATTTAATGTCATTTCACATTGTTTATGTTGTGTTTGTGCTTCTATTACATTTTGCTTAGCACTTATTAATTGTTGCTCTAGTGTTGCATTTTCACCATCTTGACTTTCTAATAAACCAGTACTAATCTTTTGATATTTTTCTTGTGCAAGCAATACTGCTTTGCAATCCTGTTCATCCGTCTCTTTTAATGTTTTAAAAAGCTCTTCAACTTTGCTATATTCTGTTTGCTTCGATGTAAAAGCATTTTCATCATCAGTTATATTAGCTTTCAATTGTTCTATTGCTTTTTTAGCAGTTTTAGTATCTTCTTTGCTACTATTAACTTCAGCTGCCAATTTAAATTCTTTTTTTTCTGCCTCTTTTAATTCTTTTTCCAAAGATTCTAATTGACCCCCAGTTTCTATATCCCTTTTTTTAATCATTTCATCTAATTCTTTCTCTATATTTCCAAGTTCCTCTTCACCAGCATTAATGCTTTTCATTTTTTCTTCTATTTTATTTTTAACAGTTTGTACATTGTTTTCTGCATTTTCACATTCATTTAAGATTGTGACATATTTCCATGCCAAGCAAATTCTTTTACAATGCTCTAATTCCCTTTCTGTACGTTGAAATTCAACATATTGTGTTTTTTCTTCTTTGAGTTTTTTTAATCTTGGACCTACTTCTTCTCTCAAAATATCATTTATCTCTTTTAGTTTACTATCCTTCTTTTCTATAGTTTTTAACGAAGCTTCTTTCTTACTTTCATACATTCGAGTACCTGCAGCTTCTTCTATCATAGATAAAATTTCCATAGGTTTCATATTCAAAACTTTAGTAATTCTTCCTTGCATTATTAAAAAATGTGGATTATTTACATTCAACTGAACAGAACAAAACATATCTTGGACACGTTTATTTTGTACGTTAGTTCCATTGATTAAGTATTTATTTTTACCACCAATTACAACTTGTCTTGTAACTGTTATCTCTTCATGATGTTCATATCCCATAGGTGAGGAATTTCTATCTCTATTGTCAAATATTATAGTAACACTAGCTTTTTTGATGCCTGCTTGACCAGACTTATAAACTAAGTCTTGCAATGATGTTGCACGTACCTGATATAAAAAAAATAAAAGATACATTTGTTTATTACTTTATTCTTTTACTATTTTCATACAAGAATTAATATTTAAGTTAAATTATTAAAAGTATATTTATAATATAATTTATAACATAATTCACATTTTCAATAAAAGTATAATTATATTTAAAAAACAGGGATAGATTGAGGTTACAATTAGGAAGTTCTATCATTGAAAAAATAGGAAAAATAATGTATCACCTGTCCAAGGTTAGTAATTCCCAAAACAAAACATATTGCATCGAGAATGTTTGATTTCCCGCTACCATTAAATCCTGTGATAGCGTTAAATTCTTTGTCGAATCCATTTATTTCGATTCTTTTTCCATAGGACTTAAATCCTTCTAATACTATGGACTTAATATACATTATCAAGTTCAGTGAATACAACTGAAAATATTACTTTGTTTGTACTTCTGTACTGTATTTTTATTGTACTGTAAATTCAAATTGTGCATAGTGACCGTTATGACGTTATTTAAGATAATAGAGAGCGGGAATAACTATATCAATAGAAACTCCACTTCCATATACGAGTTCCGAAATTCATTAAAAAAATTTATATGTATTACTTTTCTATCATAGTTTATTACAATTATTGACATGTCTTTAAAATGTTATGGATATTATTCGTTATAGAATATAACTAATCAAAATAAAAAAAATATAAAGTAAAAAACATTTTATGATTTAGAGATATTTTAGAATGACTTGCTGAACACGACATGAATATGACAAGCTAGCATCTCTTTCGATTTCAAAACTTTCAGTATATAAGAAAACAATTTTGAAATACTCAAAGGATTGTTATTTATTTCTTAAATATTTTATCAGATGATAAACGAAAAAATTATTTCTTTAATACTACAATAAAAGGCATTCTTGGAATCATTAAAATTAAAAATAGTGAAAGTTGTCTTTTGTATCAAATCACATATAAGGTTAGAATACAAATATCATAAGTCAATAAATCAAAATTCATATTACTTGCAGCAAAACAATTTTGAATAAAACTTCAGAAAGTTTGAATACTATTTATATGGAAACTATTTTCATACGTAATATATTGACTTTTTCAAATGATTACTAGGATCACTATGAATATCCCACCAATTCAACAACCAGGAACAATTGGAGTAGGTCAAATGACACAGCCTGTGAATCCTCAACTTCCTCAAAATCCACAACAAACACAACAACCACAAGTTCAGCAGCAGCAACAACAACAACAACAACAACAACAGCAGACTCAAGAAAAACTTGACAATATTTCTAAAGTTAAATCATTAATTGGACCATTAAGAGATTCATTAGCCATAGCACTTAAAACTGCAGCTCATACATTACATCAAAATAGTCTGGTAGATGTTGGATCTCTAAAAGGTGGAGTGGATCAACCTGATCATCGATTTAATAAAAATATGGAAGAATTTTATTCCATTTGTGATCAAATAGAACTACATTTAAAAACTTCTATAGAGTGTTTATCACAAAATTCTAGTTCTGTGAGGTATCTACCAGTATCGGTTATACCAACACGTACAGATACCGTTGGAACTCAAGAGGGACCTGCTTTGACATATCCCCAATTTTTGATGACTGTAAGAGCACAGGTTGCATATGTTCGTGAGGTTCATGATACTTTAGTTTCTGCTGCACAATCAATAGCATCAGGTGAATGAATAGAAAATTTATAAAGATTGTGATAATGGTTAAGTATTAATTTAGTATTAATTAGTACTAATTTATATATTTACATCTACTTTTGTTTGTATCTTATTTTATATATAACTAAGTAATATATAATACATAAATATACTATTTTAATAAAATTCTAATAACTTAGATTACTGTTTTTGTACATTTTATTTATTGATACTCATACATTTCTTTACTACATATATAATAACTTTATGAATTCCAACAGATACAGAATGATACAAGCACAACAAAACAAATCAGTAATCAAATCAAATAAATCATTTAATCTGAATCGAGCATTAATGCGGAATAAACATGTTCGCAGTTACAAGTTTCAAACAGTTTGCAAATTAAAAAAGATTACATATATCGTAAAATTTTAATCCCTCTATTTATAACTGGGTTCTATTCTGTGAAATTTATAAAATTATTCTAAGCAATTTCCAGTACATTTCTACATGTGTACATTTAAACACAGATAATAAAATGTGATTCATAACGCATAAATGTGAAAAATTGATCAGAATTGAAAGTATAATATTCAAGTACAATGCTTATTAGAATAAAGACACATCAATATAAGAAGATTTTGTTAAGTATTTCACACATTACAATAGGGTATGTAACCCATCTTATTATTTTTATTCATTTCTTGACCAGAATGAAATACATTTTGAATATGAACAGAGATTGATAAAAAGATGTATGAAAACTGAACAGAAGTAAGAAATAGAGGATTGAGAGGAGAGTCGCTTATCATGTTTAGTAAGCACATAGAAATAGGAAGGACATACCGGCAGAAGAAGAGGGGAGGAGAGGCGTGCAGGAAGCGCTACTGTCAGTTGGATTGGTGTTTTGTCGCGGCGCGCCGAGTGATCATTTGAAAAGGAAGGACCACCTCTGTTCACCATATTTGGCAAACTTTCCCTAATATGGTAACGTCTACTTCTAAATATGGCAGCCGGGGACGCCCTCTCGCCGATTCTTGTACTACTCCGCGCGATCTTTCAGCTGCAAATTTTGAACAATCGAACTCGCGTAAAAGCAATTTGACAACGCACCGAAGATCACCGTTGATTTCTTAATTTCTCTACGGAGAAATTTTCACGGATCTTCGTCCGAGTGTCTCAATTTCGATCGAGTGGACTAGTTTTTTACCGCGTATGCGAGGCGCGGTGGGGGTAGCAGCTGCGCACGCAAGTACGGAGGCACCGCGTTAGCACGTAGGTCAAGTTACGATACTCTCTGCGCATTCAGTTCGCGGGGAGCGCTCGTGCAGTGCGCGTTGTTGTCCCGTGTTCCTCTAGATGATTGATCACGTGGGAAACATTGCGCCGAGTTTTCGCGATTTCGTGGCGGAGAAGGGCCGAGGGAAAGGGAATAAATGTGCGCGAGTCCGTAATGGACAACCCTAGCGGCGGAAGAGATAGTCGGTACGCAAGTCTTGGCTACAGCATGGGGATGATAGGCAGCGACGCTGGCTCGGAAATGTACGGCCGACCGTCCACCTCCCAACTTACAACTTCTCAAATAAGCCGCGGTGGCGCCACCATGATGGCCGCGGCCGCCGCTGCAGGCGCACCGAACGCCGGCGTGGGATCTGTACAGAGAGGTATCAAGAGGACCACTTCGGACGTCTGTTATGATGACAGTAATGCACGGCAGGCACTTTCGCAACAGCAAGCCATGTCAATGTCCACGGACTGTGTCCCCGATAATCTCGAGGAGTCGTTCACGAGTTTGGGCCAGCCGAAAAAGTCACCCCCTTCGAACGGTAAGAAGACGAAGGGACGGGTCAAGATTAAAATGGAGTACATCGACAATAAACTGCGGAGGTATACTACTTTCTCTAAGAGGAAAACTGGAATCATGAAGAAGGTTCGTATCTGACGCGTTTAGCGATCTTATTTCTTATTGATCAAAATAATTGGAGAAATAATAATTCCGAAAGCAGTGTGTTGAATCCATCGATTATCGATGATCGATCATCACGATCGACCGTCTCTCTGTGTAATCATCGAATCGTCCAATAGCGAACGTAGTTCAGGTGCCTTCAAAATTGACGAGAGATTAGACAAACAGAAAAAAGTATATAAATGTCATGAATAACAAATGTAATGTCGATTTTCAAATGTGATATGTAAGAACCAAGGGAAACGTGTATTATGGTTACGTAGTTGCGCGGATTGCCGAAATCAAAACACACACTGATGACTTCAGCGAATATGCGAACCGAGAGCGCGCAATTTATGAGTGACAAGTGTGCTTTCACTGTCGTATATATTTGTACATCAATAATTTATTCGTGTATTTTGGATTAACACTAGAACTATTGACGACACAGATATATAATTCACATTTAAAAAAATAAAGAGAAAATAAAAAAATTAAATGTATATATATATTTAAAAAAAGATGTATATATATATATTTTAAAAAAAAGGAAAAAAAGAGTCGTGGAGCTAGTATCTTGCAAATCTACAAAATTTTTATGAAAAAAGTTATTATCATTAATAATTGATCATTTTGACCATTTTAATAGTTGATAGTTCTAATGTTAAAAAAAAAAAAGAACCATAATACTAAGAACGAACATGTAAAAAGTTTTGGTAATTGTCGCATAATTATTTTTGCAAATAAAAGTTTCTTGTTTCTTCAATTTCAGTTATTTATAGTTTATATCAATACGTTTAACGATATTCAATTGAGTTTTAAGTTACAGGTTACACGATCATTTTTACCAGAAGATTTATAGTTTTCAAAAACTTTACGCACCTTAGCATTTATCCTATAAACGATTACTCATTTGTATTAACATTAACTTTGCATTTTATATTTCAGGTAACGAATGCGTTGTAGCTACAACAGAATATCATAAAAATTGCTTTTATATTTCGTTACATCAAGTTTAATATTTTAACATCTTTCAGCTTAACATCTTTTAAAGTAATTTTTATTTTTCGAAAATTACATGGTATCTATTTTTATTTATCTTTTATAAAACTATGATTATAAACTTTTTATTCTCGCATCAATAAAAAACATATTGTGCCAGTATTAAGTAAGAGTTTCTCATTTTACGAAAGAGTAATTTAATACTAGTATCGAAAATAATCTGAAATTGTATTCTAACTCGAAGGTTTTGATTTTAACATCAATTTAATCATGTTACAGTTGTTTATTTGATCCAAACGGCGGAGTGGCTAAATCCGTAGAAGAACCTAAGGCAAATTGCATCTTTCATACAAATATAGAAAACCAAAGATAGATTGTTCCCCTTTTCTAAAGACGGGTCTCTATAATTAGCTGTGTTTTGACACGAAACTGACATAACTGCTTTATAACGTTATTGAAAAACTGGAAACTTACGTTAATCTTAAAATAAACAGAGGCATTATGTAAGAGAAAGTATAGACTTAAATATTAAGCTGTATCCGTAGGTAGTGTTAAAAGAATAACCTATTGCTAAATAAAAGTTCCCAATTTCTAACTGTTCGTAAAATGTAAAATTTGAGCCAGCAAAGCAAAGATTTCTCTTAAATTCTCAAAGTATTTTTTATATAAGTATTATAACATTTACATCAAATTTTTTAACATCATTTATTAGTCAGCAAGAAAAATTATAAAATAATTGGGAAATAAATCGCAGATAAATTGAACAAATTTGTTGTTAGTAGAAACATTGTAAATTTTAAATCTTGCCGTAGAAACCAGATTGAAAATCTATGTTGTACGCACGAAGATCTATAGATAAATCAATAGATAGGATAAATTTCAAAAAAAAATCACAAATTTAAATAACTAAGGGAAATAACATTTGATTGCCTACTAAAAATTTCTATGCAAGATACAAACATTGCTTTACTTTGCAGAATACTTTCTTCAAGTGTAAATATGCAGCAACATTCTGATCTAAGTTAAAGACAACGATTTCATAACGTTCCAGTATGTTTATTCATCTTCGTGGTATGGTTGCGTTGTTTCCCCTCGAGCAGTAGGTTTCTTGTTAGCAGGCTGAATTTTTACAATTTAGATTCAACTTAAACATACAATGACGGTGCGTCGGTTTTCACTACAAAAAGGAACAATTCCATCCGCACCTTGTTAGTAAACGCTTCGGTAAACCTTGATGAATATTATATCATAATGACGTATAATCTTTGAAACATAAAACGTTCAGTACGCGTGTAAGTTTTTATTCGTGTGTACTCGTTTAATTATATAGAAAAACTGTATATTAATGAATGTGCAGGCGGCGACAATTTACATAAGAGCGTTCTATAAAAATCCGCGAATAGCAAGTGTCTGTGATACCTATGTATGTTGAACGTGTGAAAGTCCAATGGAAAATATTCCTTTCGAGGGAAGGAAGAGGAAAATACTGAATACTTTGAATTTAAAAACGCACCTGATTCGTTAGTGTACTGTCGTTTTTCAACTCCTCGAAAACTCTTCATCAATTAAAATCGCTCTGCTGAAACTAGCTTTCGATCAATCCAAAGAAACGAAAACCAAAACCAAAACCCGAAAGGGATGGGAATAAAAGTGGAAAAAGAAGGCAGAGTGCCGAGGCGACGCATCGTTAGTACGATCGCGGGAGCGAACTGGAGAAAGAGACCGGAACATTCCTAATTAATCGTTATCTCTGATTGCAGGCGTACGAGCTGTCGACACTGACAGGTACACAGGTGATGCTGCTGGTAGCCAGCGAGACCGGGCATGTGTACACGTTCGCGACACGAAAGCTGCAGCCGATGATAACGAGCGAGGCCGGGAAGGCGTTGATCCAGACCTGCCTGAACAGCCCGGACCCTCCCGCCTCCAGTTCCTCCGGCGACCAGAGGATGTCCGCGACCGGATTCGAGGAGACCGAACTGACCTACAACATAGCCGACGACGAGCAGAAAGTAAGGCAACTGGTGTATGGCTCGCCGCACGGTGGCTCGCTGCACGGCGGATATCCTGGTGGCGGACCGACCGGAGGGCCTCCTGGCCATCCGCCACCCCCGCCGCCGCCACCGCCGCCGGGTTCGCAGCACGCGCCACCCTCGCACGCGCAACACGCGCACCTGATTGCGCATGCACACGCGGCCTCGCCGAGCTCGCACCTGGTACCCTGTTCCAGTCCCGGGCCCATGTTAGCCGGTGGCCCTTATCAACAATCTTGTCCCTCGCCTCTGCCACCCCATCACGCCGCCTACCATCCTCACATGTCGCATTCGCATCCCCAACGGTAGTACTACCCTAGCGTTTAAAACTACTCATGTGTCGCTCACGTGTCCTCCGACTCTGATCGCCACATGCATCTGTTGCGTTGCATCCCCGTCACCAACTATACTGCTGTGTTCTATTTTCGCGTCTGATTTTCCATGACCGATGACTACGGAATATCAGGACGAAAAAATATAGGTAGAGAAGAGCGAGAGAAGAACGTGAGGTCCGACGCGTTCGTGGATACAGAGGATAGATATTCGATAAGAGTCGGTGTCCGTCGAGTTAGAGAACTACGAGCCGCCGGCGTAACGGCAATTATCCGCGTACGCTTATCGCGACCGTCGCCTGTCGTCGATCGACTGTGTGACAATCGTCGGCTTCGAACGCTCGTTGCTGCTCCGTGTTCTCGCGATACGCGCTACGAGATGTATCCGACGTGGTAGATTTCGAAAATGTACCCTGTTTATAAATCGATCGAGCAGGTTTGGGGAACACGAAGAAGATATTACGTTCTCTGTGTGTAGACTCGAGTAGTTTCTTTATGGAGTTTCACTGAATTCCATGGGGAACTTAATTGTTCTAGCGATTTCATTAACAAGAAGCCGGATCGACAAAGAGAGTGAAACCACATTTTTTCTCTCTCAACGATTCGTGCTTCGAATCTGTAGGAATCCGTGCTAGGTTTCTAAAGCTTCTTTTCTGTTACTCTTCTGTCACAGCGCTTCAGGGCTCCTCGAACAATGACGCCTTGGCGTCGGTGCAATTCCGTCCAAGTTATTGGCGCGAGTAGTATATCGCGTTCAAGTTAGGCGCGCGAAAATGCGTTAAACGTCTTTTCCCGTGGTGATTTGATCATTCTCGAGGCATTTTAAAAAAATAGACGGATTTGTAATGCTTTTTAATTTATATTGTAATGCTTTATTCGAGAATGCGTCGTTCGAGGGACGTAAAATCGTACGTTGTTTGCAAGCTGAATAACGAATCAGCATGACGGAGGAAGTTCCGGACGATATCCGACTTTCTTTTCCGGACAATGAATATCGAAATTCTCGATGAGGCGCATTACATCCGGTGTCAATGAAAGTACGGTTATTTTCTTTTCGTATGTGTGTATGTGTGTAGAGAGAGGAACATCATCTCGTACGAAGTGCGAATGACCATAGATTAATATGCTGAACACCCGGCACGTTCAAGTTTAATTTGACGTAAATTTTATGGAAGTGAAGTTTCTTTTAATTTTAATTATGATTTTACTATGTTGTTTAGATTATCGATCATATTTTTATAATGTTAAAAAATTTATTTCTCTGCATAAAAAATTTTAGAAATTTGTTAAAACAATTGAAATTTTAAAATCACGACGGTAAAATTTTAAACATCACGACGGATTTGAAACTTAGACAAATTCGATCAGTGTTAAAGTAGTCAATCTTTTATAAAAGACATAGTCTTCTATATGATTTAATATCTGTTATAAATTAATATCTGTTAAAAATTGTTAACTTCTTGTTGAAGAATTGAAACAAAACGAGATGTCTCTGTCAGATCGTTTCGTGAATCTCTCTCTTTTCTGATCTAAGCTTGTTCCGATAGAGGCATTGAGACATCGAGTTATCATAAAGCCATTTGCATAATTTCCTGTCGTTTCTGAATTAATTTATCGATACTACTCTTCGACAAATCCACTTCTTGGATACGTGAAGGCTTATGAAACGACTGGCTAGAATGCTAACAGCGAGAAAATAGCTCGCATAATTGCGTGCCAGGTGCACTAAAAAAGATTTAACCAAATCAGTCGACGAGGTAAAATCGAGACTACTTATGGTAACGTGCGCTCGCGCGCGCGCGCGCTTCGAGATCCTAGTACAGTTGTTAACGACAATCAGAACGATGTTTTGCCACGGCTGGCTCGTTGGGAAGAGTTTCAGGCAATTAACTCTTCTTTCAACTCGGTATCGCGAATAGAAGGTTTCTAAGGACACCTGTCATCCTCGGGATGAGGTCGTACAGTACTTAACATAGTAGATTTTCGGTACTTAATACATTAAGGGAGATTATCGTTCGATTATTATTCGTTGTCTCGCGATATAATAAATGTGCTATAAAGGTGCAGTGGTTTTTCTTAAGATTGGAAAATCGAAGAGCTCGTAATAAAAACAACCCCTTATCCACGCGCTTATCTTTTCATTTTTGGTCAGTACGTTTTAATTTTGTTAAACAAAATATTCATCATACGTAAATTTCATAATCACCAATTATAACGTAAAAGAATGATTTTCAATTAAAACAAGTTGTAGAGGCACGGATCATTTTTTATAATATCAATCATTCAACCATACGGCGAGTGTAGCTTGTGTCTACTAGAATGCATTGTCTGAAGAATTAAAAAAAATTAAACGATGGTCGTTTTTGTTACGAGCCCCTAAATTAGATTGACGCGACGATATTCTTGGGAATTAATCGTGATCGAGCGACGTAGCTATGTTGTTAGCGTGTGATGGTGTTTTCAATGGAAAACCGATCGGGGCGCAAGAAAAACGTACGGTGCTCCGTTTCCAACGTATAAATCTAGTCCAGTCGACGTGTACTGTAAATGTATACGAGATTTATGTCTACGACGTTCTGATCTATCCGAGTGAACAGGGACAAAGATGATCGATGTTGGATTTTCCTGAGCGATCGTCGACGAGATCAAACGTCCTAGCTTTCGACAATTCGAGTTTAAAGAAACAATTGAGATCATGAAATTTACCTTTATAGATACGTTAACTCAGAAATAGAAATATCCATAACTTAAATTTAATTTTGACAATTAAGTACCGAGTAAGCGTGGATTTCGATAATTTCATTTGTTTCGATCAACTTGGCAATCATAAATTTATAAAAGATAACAACGTTCGAAATACTGGAAACAAATAAAAACTTCATCTGCAATCATTGTTTTTTGCTCGTGATGTAGAAACGAGATTAAAAAGTAAGTTGTTAGAAAATTCAGAGAATAGACAATTTAATGGCTGGATCTATACGTTAATCAAGGTCCAAAGACTTTTTTTCTACGATACGTACTTCGTTCAAGTCGTACTTGTTTTTTACGAAACGGGCCTAAAATTCATAGGAAGACACGTATCTATGGAAGTTTTCGTTTGTCAAAACGAGAATGGAGAGGCAATTTTTGATCGTGTACTTAGGATAGTAACTCATGTGATGAATTACTCGAGGAGCCACGTATTTTGTACATGTACATTTTATTTCGTTCTATTCTTTCTACTTAAATCGTATTTATAATTATCTCTTACGGCGATGGAATCTCTCTTATTTATTTAAAAATCTATATATACGTTAGTAAGTTGATCGATCGTCGTCGAGCAACGAGAATCGAGTGGAACTGAGGTGAGCCGTAATTTGAACAATTGAAAAATAAATTTCGATCTCTCGCATTTAATTCCGCGATGTCGATAGTACTTACTAATCTACTCAGAATAACTTAAGAACTGTCGGTGTCGTCGTCTTCTCGGTATATTCTTCCAAGTATTTTACCTGACGTACGAAAAAACGATTTCTTTTCGTTCGGCTTTCCTTCAGTTCCAAATCGTTCGATCGTACTTTATTTTGCAACAAATGTCGTACCTAGTTGATGGGATTGGCGAGGAATCGAAGGAAAAATCGAATCTCATTCCCGAGCGTTCCCATTTTTTCTCTTTCCATCGAAGATCCTTATCGAGGCATTCGTTATTTTTTTCAAATACTCACGTCGTTCGGGTCGAGGCGTTTCGCCTTTCCCTGCGACGAAACGCAAAAAGAGCCAACGAAGAAACGAGAAATCGTAGTACGTGGGTGCGAGTCCGAGCCAGTAGACCCGGCGGTGCACGCTTGGCATTGTTGCGCATTGAAAAAAAAATATATATATATATATATATATACACATCATACACACGTATGTGTGTGTATATATATATATACACATATCGTTGTGTGCATCGTACATTGTTCCGTAATGTGTTTGTACTGAAAGTGGCATGTGTAGTATTTGTTTGTTTTTTTTTCTCTTTCGTAGATTAAGTAGCTAGTATTTAAAATACCTTTTTAATTTAAATTCCCAGGCGAGTCCCACCTGTTCTCTGTTCCTCCCTCCCGGTCCCCTTTCCTTCAAGTTTCTTCGTCAAGTAGAGAAAACCTCGATTCTCTTCCCTCTTCGCACATTATGCATGCTTACGTGTGTGTGTGTGTGTGCGTGTATATGTGTTGTGTGTTGTTTTCTCTTCTCTTCTTTTTTTTTTTTTTTTTTTAATGTCGCTTGAAATATTTTTGGAAAAGAAAGAACAGGTACATATAAATATATATATATATATATAAATATATATATATATATATAAATATAAAAATATAGAGAATAGATAGATAGATAAAGTAGATAAACGTTTATACATCGGAGGAAAGGAAAGTGAAAACGCGAAACGATATACAAAGTGAACAAGCACACGAGAGCATTAACGTGCAGGCGCAAAAGTAAGGGAGATTAAACAAAGTGAACAAGCACACGAGAGAAAAAAAAATAATGTGGGAGAGAAATGAAAAAGAGAGAAAGAGAGAGAGAAATCGCAAATACGAATAGAAATGTATGATCATCCGTGGTCTCTCTCCCGTCGATGCACAAAGTACAAATAATATAATTAACTTTACGATTATATGATAATCTTGACATACAACACGGTAATCACGAAATGTACGGCTGGCGTGCCTTAGTTTTTATGTATCACATGTGTAAATAGTGTACTGTAAATTACTGTGATAATATTTATATTACACGTACGTATTATATTGTTTCGCTTAATGATACGGTCCCATGACAGTGTTGGTCGCCGTTCCGTCAAATGATACAGTTAACCGATATATGCCAACAATTATTGGCACGAGATGCCAGTTATTTGTGAGACAGGTAGGTATAAAAACCCACCTATTTTAGCGAGGATAACCGTTGTCATTGCTCCCCCTTTCGTCGACTCGACGATTTGATAATTTGTACTTTTTATTCTGGCGCGTAGTTTGCCGCGCGAATAGACCGCGTTGATAACAATCAGGACGACGAAGAAACGTAGAAAACGAAAAAGAAAGGCATTTCTGTACGATTAGGTAATAGTTTCGCGTGAAACGTTAAACGAGTTGCGAGTCGAGATGAATAAAAAAACTGGCCTCCGTCAAAGAGGGTATTAACTCTCGATCGAACAACTTTTTTGGTTTCTTGCGATTGTTATTTAGTAAAAAAAAAAAAAAAGAAAAGAAACAAAGATCAGAAAATAAGATTTTTAAAAATGTGTTTCTTTATATTATTATTTGTGTTTTGGATTTTATTGTTGCTTTATCAGAGAGATCGTTTCACACTTCTTTTTTTATTTCTCGTTTGCACGCGAATATAATTCTCGCAATTAGCATAAACGAATTGCTAGACCTAACTTAATGATACTAGATCTAATTTATGTAATTTAAAGAACTACATAATTTATTGTTTTGTAAATAACGTAGGAAACAGCTGTATCATTCGGAAACGGATAAAGAATAATAACACGATAAGATTTTTCGTTACTTTTTAAGATTTTTATTTTCTCTCTTTGGAAGAGCAATCTGTAATTATCGAAAAACAATAGCCATTCGATGCGACAGATAATGGAAAAGAAAGACAGTTATGTTAAAAACTAGAATCTGCAAGATGCGTTTAATTATACACATATTAAATAATAATGCCATTATGCGATTACTGTTGTAAAAAGAAAAAAAAAAAGAATATTTCGATCTGCTTGAAAATAAGATACACCGATCAACAGCATTCCATTTTGCCAACCATCTCTTCAACATTGCTCACAAGGTAGGTCTGTTTCTTGATACGCGTGGATTTGCAAACTTAACAAATCTTTTTTTATTTTAACTTTAACCAAATCCTCTGAACTTCCTTATGCATTGCTTTAATATTTAACTCTTTCAGACATGAATTTCCTTTCAAAAGGAAATAAAAGAAAACCTAATTAATTCTCTTAAAACGAGACATTTGTTTTCTACATCCCTTCCGTGGGGTTGAAGCTAACTTAAAAAAAAAAAAAAAAGAAAAGGAAGATCTTCGATCGAATAAATCTGAAAGAGTTAAAGACGATGTTTCTGCAAGCCTAAAGAAAGATGAAGAAAAAAAAAAAGAAATAGCAACTAATCAGTCAAAGGAGAGCAGAAAAATCAAGGAAGCATTAAACACCCTATTAGTAGTTAAAAACCGGATCGAAACTTTAGTCCATCGTAATGACAACGAAAAAGAGAAAAAGAGAGAGAGAGAAAGGGAGGAAAAAAAAGAAACGCTGGGAAGCTCTCTCCCTTAACGGTAGTTTGATACGGAGCACGTTTACGGCGGGGGTTCGAGGCTACGATTTATGATCTAACGACTTAACGATTATGATGCATTTCGCTAAGAAGGCACCCTGGTAGATCGCGGCCACTAAGGAAACGACGACGAAGACAACAGGCGGCTGTTGGCAGGGCAAAAGAGAGAAGGGCAGAAACAGGTGGGGAGCAATCGGATGGAAGGGAAAAGAGAAAGAAGGCGGGGTAAGAGAGGGAGAGAGCAAGAAAGAGGGAGAAAAAGAGAGAGAAGGTATGGAAGGTGGAAGCAGAATACCATATACGGTCACCTTTGTCAAAGCCTGGTTGTCGCCATATACAGGCAATGTTCACGATGGCAGATACTTATATAGAGTCCAACTTGAGAATCAGGAATGCCGGTTTTTGTCGCGCCTTCTATACACACCCGTGGTAATGGGGGGTACAAATACGACTCGGAAGTGATCGCCGACACAACGCTTGCTGCACGCGGACAAGGGTCGCGAAACCAGCCCTTCTAGTTGTGCTTTCGGAAATCCTTCGCCGTATCCGCCATGGAACCACGATCGTCGACCTTTCAAGTTTACAACTTGAAAATGAACTTGACGAAAGTTGAATGCCTTCTTAATTTCCGTGTGTTTCCATGCGTGGAATGTAGTTTGACTCCGAAGTTCTTTTTTTTTTTTTTCTTTTTCTTTGCGTGGGAGTGTCGTAGTTTTGACGTCGATCGAAAAGGGCACTCGAGTTGCGCAAGTAAATCAATTTGGGCAATATTTTTATACTTTACAAACGAGTTGTACATCTGGTTTTTGAAAGTAAAGTTTTTCGACTTCCAAGCACGCTTTTGGAACCCAATTTTGCCACTCGTGCGTGGTAAATGATATATCTCGGCATTGCGCGGACATAATTGAAGTCATTGGTGAATGACTAGTTCGAAAGTAGAGCAGTCTAATTAATTGATTCGGTTTCAACTACTTTTGGAATGTTGAACCCTTACAGAGCGTTGGAGATCCCTTTCCTTGCTTTTTATATTTCCGAGGCTAAAGGACACTTCATTTTCTCATCATTGTACGAGATTTCTCGGGAACATTTATTTCTTTGGTATCAGCTTTCTTTTATAAAACGGCGAACGTGATCGAGTTCCTCGATCAGTCACCGATTTGAAAGTAGAGTATTCGAATTATTTTTGGCATTTTAAGCCTTCGAAACTACATAGACACATTCGTAGAAGATTTCTATTGTTTGAAGTTAGTATCACTAAATCGAGTTTACTATTGACTTACGATTGACCAAAAAAGAAATACAGCTAATCGACAATGTCGTGACAAAATCATTAATGGAAACTTCAGTTTCTGTCGCTACAATAAAACTCGATCTACTTGAACTCTGGAGAAAAATGTGAAAGTCATCGATGCCCTCCATTATCTACTTTTTCTTCTTCGATACGAATGATAATAATAAATATTCACGAGCTGAAATAAATAAATTTAATCGATGGAACTCGCAGATAGCTCGCAGACAGATTCGATCAACGGAAGTACAATTCTACCACAACACGGTATCGTTCGGAAACGATCCTTCGCAACGAAGGAGGCAACCAGAGACCGAGCGGTTCGCCAAATTGGTGGTTCCTTGGACGAGAGACGAACACTTCCTAATTCTCCCGAGGAGCGTCGACTTCTTGCGCTGCTGGTAGCAGCCAGTAGTCGATTTGCTTTCTCTCGAACGCGACCGGCGGTCGACATATGTACACACGCGCGTCCTAACGAACAAGTCCAAATGCATGTATAAAACGCATAGGTCCCTCGCACAGACGGTTTAGACCTAGGGGGAAAAAAAAAAAAAAAACGCTATCCGCCGGTGGTGGCGGTAAGACCGGGGGAGAGAAAGTCACCCGGGGAAACCGTAGTCCTGCGTAAATTTGTGAGAATCTCCCGTGGAAGCGCTCGGAGTACGAGTTGAGGCCGCGCGGATGGCCATATAAGGCGCGCGAACAAGCTCGCGCATCTCTCCCTGCTAGGTAGGTAGGTAGGTAAGTTGGTTCGTTGGTTGTTTCGTTGGCTGCTTAGTTGCTTGGTAGGCTCCAGTTGATTGATTGGTTAGTTGCCCGTTTGATTGGCTCGCCGATATTATTACCGAGGCGTTATCTACGATTTACAGGCCGCGATGCTCCTCCACTCTTGCTGGCTTGTTTTCTGCTTGTCGCCGCATCGCTCGTTAGGCATCCGGAATTTACGGAGCTGATACAGATCGTACGTCATCCTGATATCGTTTTCACGACGGCGTCTTTTCGCGAGGGTTCTGTTCTCGGACGAGAACGATCGATTTCCAACTATGATAGTTTAACTTTGACTTTGGTCCGTTTGTTGTTGTAATAGGATCTTCGAACATTGGGTAAGACTTGTTTCGGACTTGTTTCTAATTAATTTGCGTTGATTAATCGCGGGCATTTATCCTACGTTAGACGTATTAATTATAGGCACCTAAAGAAATAAAATTCTAGAAACAGTGGTTTGTAGAACGAGGCAGGAGCCTTGTAAACGATGATTCATAAATTTTGTAGCAGGGCGACACGTTCTTGAGAAACTTAATGTATGCAAGCAAAATTAAAATCTGATTCACGCCGGCCTGTGTTTTCTCGTTTTTCTATTTGTTATTCTTTCTTCGCTTCTATCAATCACGTGTCACGATCAACTATTCGTTCGATGGATACTAAAAATTCGATTCGATTGCACGACTTACGCGAGCAATTAACAGAATACGTACGCAATTCATTACAGGTGTACGTACACAAGTCATATGGAGAAATTTCGTTTCACTGTTCCAGGAAGACGGTACTTCACCTAGGTCGGACGTTTGCGCGAACGAAAGCGATGGAGACACCAGCGATGGCGATTCTCCTGTGTCAAAGGATCTCTCGAAAAATCACTCAGGTAGGAATACGTAGTGAACACCGTCCGTCTGTGAACCAAATCCTGCCAACCGAACGAAGCTTTTTTCGTCGTATAAATTTTCAGTAGAAACTGACGACAATATATAAACGCGGAACACCGTGTACGTGTACTCTGAAACAAAGAGTTTATTTATACGCGGAGTATCCTCGTGGAGCGCAGCTTTTCCATCCAAGTAGCGATTCTTGTCGAACGTCGATGCCTCCCAAGCGTGGTTTCCTCCCTTTCGTCGTGCTAGAACAATTTCACCTGCCCGTTCCGCGAATCTTGGTCCGTACCTCGCCGCGTACGAAAGACAATCGTACAGCTGCGCATATGCGGCGAGTAATTAACGAATTTCCCCGTGGGCGTAGCAGGAGTCGCGAGCCGCGAACTAAGTAGCAAGCGGTAAAAGTCGTGGCGTGGAAAATCGTTAGAGCCAGGCTGTAGGTAGTCGAGCAGAGGCAAACGTGTGCAATCCAATCAGTCAGGTAGGTCGACGGACAGAGAGGGGAATAGATACAGACAGAGGGAGAGGGAGTGAGAGAGAGTGAGAAAGAGAGGAGAGGAGAGAAACGTTGGAGAACGAGAGAATGGTATCACAGAGAGGTAAAACGTATATGATGCGTACGCGCGCGGTCGCGTGTGAGCGAGCGAGAGAACCGGGGAAAAGAGAGGGAGAAGATAAAGGAAAGAGGACACTTAAAATGCGAAAAGTGTGCGAGCGATGACGAGGTTATCCGTGTAGGGGAGTACATAAGGAGTTGTACGGGCCGCGATGACCAAACTAAGACAACGACGCGCTGCCTAACTGGGAAGTAAGATCCGGTCGAAAGCCGCGCTCCGATGCAGGTGTACACATAAATATCGATGCTAATATATGGAGTGGATGCCATCCGACTTACCGATCGCCAGCATGACGTACGTTCTTCTTCTTTTTTTTTTTTTTTTCTTTTTCGCCTTTCCATTGTTCCCCGCACAAACTGTCTCCCCGCCGGAATTTTGATAACTCGCCACGCGTTCATATCTCCGCGCGACGCTATCCGCGATCTCTTACCCCTCGACCTCGTACACGCCTTGAGATTTCTCTTCCATGGTTTGCTACCGTTTCGATGATCTTGCTAAATTCTTCCTTTAGATTCCGTTTATTTTAAATTGATTTAAGAGATAGAGAGGTAGATTGGTAGAACGGATAGAAAGTTAGGAACGAAACTGGGAAAGATGGGATAGATTCAAATACAATATTTATTCCCGTCAGCTTCTACAAGATCTCGTTAAAATTCAATTTTTATTAAATCGTCTAATAATATGTTCATTATAATAAGAATGACTATTTTATAATGAGATGTAGATGTTTGAACTAAATTGATTTGTATAGAGACCGAAAATCATATTTGTTAATACTTTATCAAGTTTCCTCTAAAACAGTTCTTCTATTAGTCAAAGTGCATATGCCGTATAATTTATTATAAATGGTCTTTTTATATATGTACATGAAGATCTTTATTCAGTGATTGCAAGACAGATATTGATCATAAAAATGCATGAATTTATATTTGTAAAGATCTAATAACAACTTATAGGTTTTTTTGTACGTTTCATATTAAACGCCATTTAATATCGTCTTTCAATCACGTAGATATACAATAGTTTTAGCAATGGCTTCGACTTACGATACGAGCCGATCGATTTAAGTAGTGAAAGAAACCCAAAAAGCAGACGGTCACCGGTGAATTCGTTGTACCATCTTGCTTCATTCTTTCTCCATATATTCCAAGAAGAAAGTAATCAATTCAGTCAAGATGAAATTTATATCAAGCAATTACATATTATCATCACATATCATATCCAATGACAACACCAGAAGTATAACATCGATTCTAACCACTTGTCCTTGTGTTAAATTCAATATTAATCCTGGCACGGGCAATCAACTATCCAGATAAATTCCGTTCTTTAATGATTTTCATGTCAAAATTTCTGAAAAGATTATTGGAGTTTCTTCGCTTGTACACGTTGAATATTCGCAGAAGTTTGATTGCTTACACAAAGATTAAATTGCACGGCGATCGACGGATATTTATTCGCCATAAAATCGATCGATTGTCATTTCATTTCACGAGAGAACGACCATAATTCTGCGCAGGTATAATGTACCAGATGCCTCAGACGGTAATTTACTCACCGACTCCGGGGGTTCTACTTGGTATCGGGCAAAATGGCCAGCCAGTGCAAATCTCTCAAGAAGGAGGTGAGAAACCATGATCATCCCCTGGAATCGATCTCCTCTCCCCCAAAAAATAAAGCATACATCCAGTCATCCTTCCAATAGCCGAGCGTTACGAAACGAAACGAAAACTCACTCATGGAAACCGACACCTTGCTCTTTCGAGGGTTGCGCTCGACGTTGTCCGACGCGGAACACGTCCCCGTCCTTCTTCCTGTTTCCCCCAAGTAGAGGTATTTTGGCATTGTTTCGCAGGCACGGTTAACTCGACGCAGAGTAATCAGCCGTTCATCACGATACCGCTGAACGTCGCGATGAGTGCCGCCGGCTTGTCACTTCCGGTTACGTCCAGGATGAATCTGTCGCCGCGATCGCCAACGACGACGACCACGTCCAGCTGCGAGCTACCATCGGACCTGAGCAAAGATCGTGAGTGATACTATCGCTGATCAAGCCTCGAGCACAGAAAAAAGAAAGATAAGAAAAGAAAAAAAGGAAAAAAAAAAAAAGAAAGAAGCAACCCCGAAGCTTGTCGGTCGCCGATGCGACAAAAGACTTGACCCGACGAGATTTGACCGGCCATCTTTTTCCCAACCGATCGTTTCGGTTCGCCAAAGGAGGCCAGAGTGAACCGTCGCGCGTACAGAAACTCGAAAATCTCGCGCTGAACGTATTTTCTCTTCGGCGACGAGATGACCTGCTTCGATCGTTCGTTCAGATTGATCCGAAACGGCCGATTTCTCTGCGATACTATCGATACTCACTGCTAGAATTTGTTGATTGTCATGCGATTTGCTGTTTTGTACATTGGGAAATCGTGGATTATTGCCGAGGTCTACCATCTTGCGATCTAGCTGCTCGCGACGGTAACGCGTTTCGCTGCGGAGGTGCTTTTCTCATTGTTCGTGGTGTTCGTTAAAATTTTTAGCAGTCATCGAATACAACAACGTTATTTTACGAAGAATTGTATAAAAATAAATAAATCGAATCGCAAGTTTGAATGGATCTTTGCATGCGATTTTATATGCGTAAATGAGTGTTGATTCACGATTGACTACGGTGTGAAATTATCATTGCACATTGGTATAGTTTTGGTTGATGCTGGGTTTCGTTGGTCGATGTTTAATATCGATATTCGTGCAATACTAGTCTGCCCGATAATTCTTCCACGATGTAACTGTTCACACTGTCCTCGTAGAATTCACCATCTTTCGAAATATTTCGAAATATTTCACAGATTGTTAATAGGAAGGAGAGGATTCGATATTTTTCAACATTAGACATTATCTAGAGAAAGTTTCGTGGAGTTGATCAGCCGAATGAAGCCCGTTCGAGTGTTTTAATAAAGAGTAATAATAAAAAAATTTATTGATACATTTTGTGTACCGATTTTGTTATAATTATACGTATGTCGGCGATTTGAATCTTGTCATTTTCGATTTTTCGAGCTTTCGCAACGTAAATTATTAGTAGCAAATAGTTACAAAACTTGCAACTCGAAGTGGTGCCATTCGACTGCGGCGAATTTGTTAGGATTCTTATCCTAGGAAACACAAGTTTGTATGGTTGTTCGAGAATTATTTTAAAGTTACAAAAGAAAAGAAAGATATCGAAACTCGTGTGACAACGATGATTCCTCAATCGTACAGGGTGCTTCTAAAAATAATCTATAATGACGTTATCGTTTCTTTTAACTACAGAGAAGAAAGTATTTGATATATTTTTTAACACAAAAGTGCGATTAACCAAAGACCTTTTTGGTTCATTCGAATTATATTATTTATTATCTTATCCGGATAATGATTCCTCGAGAAATAACGACCTGTTCGCGATGACATCGAGAACTATATAAAAATCACTTGACTTTGTTGAACTCGTGAATCAGTCATAGAATAGTAAAGGCAACAATGATGTCTCGAGATCGATAATCAGTTAATTGATCGAATCGCTCAATTGGTCAGTGATAGTGTTGGTAGTCGTAATCGTTTTTTAACAAAGAACAATACGATTAAAGAATTATACAATTATCGTGTTTAATCATTAACCATAAAATAGTGATAAGCATGCATTATTGTCAACCAAGTTGATTTAACAGTATTTTTAATCATCCAATAATCTCTATTTTACACGATATGGAAATAAATTATCAGCTTACGATAAACAACACGCGAAGAACCTGTATTTTTTTACAATACACCTACGAATATACAACTTTTACACGGATAGTACTATCGACACGCGAGGAACATTGTCAGGCTTGCCAGTTTGTTTTCTTTTGCTTCATTGATCGATCTTAAAAATGTAACGCTTTCTTTCAGTGTGAATTTGCTTTTGCTTCTGAAAATTGTAAATTTCGTCGATATTATTTAGGGATAGAAATTGTCAAGTCACGAAAGTATCCTTATGCCGAATATTCTGAAAAGGTACCTGTTTATCGAAAAGAAAAATTAGAAACAGCGTGGTTTTGGAAGGAAAATGAAATGAAGATGTACTTTTTTAAAAATTATCGAATTTTTTATGTATTTATGTATAACTGGTATTATTTGATAGTGCCTTCCTAAAAGATTAGAAGAGAAAATTCTAGAGAGAAGCTTGATATTACATTTATAAGTACTATATGCTCGTTAAAATAAATTTTTTAAACTTAATATAAATGTATTACAAATGTCTCTACTTCTATCTTTTCTTATTAAATAGTGAAGCTTATTAGCTAGTCAAAAGATTATATTATAGCTAGTCATTGAAATGTGCAATAAAACACAAAGCAGCATTTAATTTCTATATCGTAACATTGCTCAAAACAATTCGAGAATATAGTGAAATTATTTCATCAAAAACAATAAATAAAAGCCTAATATCTGATAAAAATTTTTAAAAAATGTTTAATTCGCAGAACTGATCGAAGAACTTTCTAGAATTTATTTTCATAAAAATAATTTTCTATCTTAAGCGAAATATTTTATTATCGTCACATTATTTAAAATTATTCTAAAATTGCTTTGAGCAGTGAATATGTTGTATGGACTGCCATGAGAATGAGAGGTTTATAATATAAACGATAGTACGATCCGTGGGATAATATAAAAAATTCTTATGCCAAAATCCATACAATACACTCTTATCCAAAAGTATATCGTTATTTTATATTGTGCATTTATCATAAACATCTTGAAAATATCAGGCTTTATCTTGTATTTTTCCAAATTTTACAGCACTGACCTAGTCAAATGAATTATATAACTGAATTCAGGCATTTCTTTTCTTACTTCGTCTTGTTATTGATTAAAATAGTCTTACTTAAAAATAAGTAATAGTAGAAATTCGATCATTTTATCTGATATTCAGTAATAAATAATATGTTTTCGTCAGAAACTATATGATTAAAGAATTATCAGGTAAAAAATTTTTTGTTAAACTATATTATTAAATATTTTGATTTTAATATAAATAATATAAATATAAATAAATAATACGATGTCTCGTATAATTGTCTCCATACGATAATTTGTTCATAATATGCTTTCGCGTGCAATAATTGCACGAATAACTATCGTAAATAATTTTTTCCTGTAATAAGAAATGTTAAACACATCTGCACAAGATATACATTAACTTCTTCAAATGTAAATCTCACATTGCATAATTGTGAAATTAATTAAAGTATTTATAAATCGTTCGCAAAGCAAGTACGATAAAATAGTAATGGAACGAAATAATTTGAATGTACATGTGTAATTATAATGAAACCTTATCGAAGTGCTAAAGAAAGATGGAATAATGTTTGAATGAAAGAGTACGAAAAATATGTTTATAGAGTATTTTACTTTGAAAAAATACTTTATTTTTGTGCATTACTGTTATCTACGTGTTCTTCACTTCTTTATCGTTTGTATTTCTCTATATTTAATGCAGTAAGATTACAAAATTTTACGATAATAATATATAATCTTTGGTTGTTATGAAATGTTATGTTCTGAAGACGAGCAATTAATTTTTCAAAATATGGAAAATAACACGCGAATAACATCTTATAAATCTTATAAAGTACAATACCTCAAAAAATCCGATTGGCATAATTTGAGCCATTTGAAATGTTTGTATAATAATAGAGAAATTCGAATGTTTCGTATGCCCGTTAAGAATCAACATTCTCTACCTTCGACGAATGGCAAAGTTAAATGCGTTCTATTTTATATACAATGCGTATGCATATATATTTGTGTAATATACGCCGCGAGGGTTGTTTAAATTTTTCTGGAATTTTATAATTTTCATATGAATAAAGAAATTTTGAGAACATTGCAAATATTTTATATAATTTTATCAAGAAAAGTATCAATACAAGATCTTCAATTTCTTAAGTATTTATATTCCAGATATAAATACTTAATACTTAATCGATGTTTACAATAAGTTACAATTTATTTAAATTCCAATCTTTGTATCTCTATTAATGATTTTAGAGTTTTTTGACTATGTTTACAACTTCTATGAAATATAATCATTAATTTATAATAATCTGCATAATAATTTTTGTACACTTATCGCAATAATTTCATTGCAAGATAAAACATGTTTGAAAAATATTACGTAGTAAAGTTTTTAATACTTGTATATGGTTGACATAAATTATACTGTAAGTATTAAAATTACGGAAATCTGAAGAAATATGTCTAAGATAAAAAGTCAAACCAAATCATCAATTAGGTATACAACAAATAATCATTTTTATAATAATTGCAATCATAATGAAATTCCAACAACCCTCGGTTATGTAAATTACAGTGTTTTTTTTTTTATTATTTCTTTACTGTTATATTACAGCATGAAAAATGTTTGTAACGAATGAACATACATACACATGTAAACATATCGCTGTTTTTTACACTAACTTTACGTAATGTACCAATTGTGTAGCATTGTTAAAATTGTTATGAAGTATGCGTCGAATATGAAAAAATGAAATATAATTATTGAAATTACAATTTAATTTTTTTAAAATTGCGAATTAATTGCTATATAATTTAAGTTTTATCATTTAAATTACGTGAACAATTCACATAAATAGATACATTTAATATTTTATATATATATATATATTTATTTATTTATTTATTTATTTTATATATGTATTTTAATTGTCTTTTAAAATATTTTTTTAACATTTCAATGAATTTAATTATAAAATGATTATATACGAATATTGATAAACTTAAACACAAATACTATATCAACTTACATATATATTCGCAAAGAATAATATAAAAATATTAAATTTGTTCTATTTGTCGTTAATTATTGAGTATCATTTAAAAATATAAGAAATTCCGGTCTGTATTTGATACTTACGTAATGTTTCATTATACAATTACAATTAATACATAACATTAACTTTTAAGTAAAAGAAAGTAACAATAAGTTTTGCCTTCTTAAGAAAGGAATTAATAGTGACTTTGTTTCAAGATTTTCAAACCCGTTAAATAATAATATTTTAAAAACGAAAATGTCGATATAATCCAAAGATTTAAATCACAAAATCGAATCGAAGATTCGATTCGATACAAAAACATATTGAGCATTCGTTTGAACAATGTTGGTAGCAAGTATCAGGGTGTAATGTACCGTCATGGCGACGTTACCGCCACGCAAAAATCCAACTCCAACGAAAATTTTAAAACAACATTTAACCCCATTGCAGACGCTATTACAATTAGGTTTCCCGAAACATCGAGCGTGAGTATTATAATACGATTGTAAAAGACTATCGATATCTCTTTGTTGTTCGATGAATAAGTACATGCGATTATAATGCATTCAGTGTAAACAAACAGCTGTCAAACATTAAGTATCATTGTTGTTTTTTGTTGATTCATCATTATCTATGCTTATGATAAAAATTTGACCAATACGTTTAATTATTGTTATCTTTTTCTTATTCTAGTAAATCGTTCTACAAAGTATATAATTTCATATGAAAATACTCTTATTATGTAATACAACACCATGACTGAGATTATTGGGTTGATTATACAATTCATAATAATTTAAATAATTATTGTTTTGTAGAGAGAAAGCATTAGCTGCTACGGGACATCGAGGTGTTCAACTTGCATCTGATTGGCTAGTAGCTCATGTTAGAGATCCAACTTTGGATTCTGACATCCATAGACAATATGTTTTGTACGCTTGTCCAATAGGTGAATTAGCAGAGCAACTTATAAAATTCTGGTCAGAGAGTAAAGAACTCATATGGAATGGAGCACATAATTATATGCCACACATAACTCTTGTATCATTTTTTGAAGTATGACATTATCTTAACTGTACACATAAAGTATTAATGTTAAATAAAAATACACATGAAGTATTACGAAGTATTACTTTTTGCAGGCACCAGATGAATCAACTGAGGAATTGGTAAATATACTTGAGAGTATAGTTAACCAAGATGAGTTATCAGATAATATTGAGTTGGAAACATACATTTCTCCTAATTTTATGGGGTTGTTTGTTAAAGAAATAAATGCAGAATGGCTGAAGAACATTGCCATCCGTTATGCAAACAAACTTTCAAGTTTGGGCATTTCTGCAGAACCTCAAATAAAATCTTTACATTTGACATTGGCCTATCAGTTTCCTAGTAATTTATATCAACAATTGCGTTTGATGGTAGAGAAACTAACACTCACTTGTCCAACTAATTGGGAACTCAGATTATATTCCAGAGATTCTAGGCTGCAAAATGCACATGTACATAAAGTGACACATCCTCACATGCCTAGAGAACATGATGAATTAGAATTAAGAGTCGGAGATTACATTTACATTCCAGAAGGGGCATGTAGTATATCTACAGATGGTTGGATTGAAGGTATCTCTTGGCTAACTGGTATTTCAGGCCATTTACCTTTGAATCATACAAAACGTACAGCTGAATCGGATTCATGGACTTTACATACTACTATACAAATTACTGACAATAAAAGTGAAATTCTACAGAAAGAAGAAATACCTTTAACTCGTAAACCACCAATATTGTTATCAAGTGATTCCATAGACAGTCCTGATGGAGTAGCAACAACTACTGAACCAGTAAATAATATTAATAATTTATTATTTATTAATCCATAAATCTAATTTTAATATTTTTATTTTATCTCTCTATATATAGATTGAAGTTTCTGAAGTACCTCCAAGTTCCTCAAGACAAATTTTCATATGCCGTCATGGAGAAAGAGTAGATTTTACATTTGGAGCATGGATCCGTTATTGTTTTGAATCAAATGGATCCTATGTTCGTAGAGACTTGAATATGCCAAAGGAAATACCATCAAGAAATATACAAGACTTTCGAAATGATAGTCCTTTAACAACTGTCGGTGAAGTGCAAGCAAGTTTGGTGGGAGAAGCTATGAAATCGTCTAGTATTAAAATAGACGTGGCTTTTACGTCTCCTTCATTGAGATGTATACAGACGTTAGCTCATATTTTAAAAGGATTAGATTTAAACATTCCAATGAAAATAGAGCCGGGTCTCATAGAGTGGTTAGCATGGTATCCAAATGGTGTTCCCATTTGGATGACATCTGAAGAATTAATAACAGCAGGTTTTAACATAGACAAAAATTATGACCCAATTATTAAAGCAAAAGATCTTCCATTAAAAGAAAACGCAGCCCAGTATTATGAACGAAGTTATGAATTAATCAAACGAATTATTGAAAATACAGTAGGAAATATTTTAATAGTAGCTCATGCTGCTTCTTTGGCAGCTTGCACCAGACAATTAACAGGTGGAAGAGTGCCACCAGCTTCCGAAGTTACGAGATTAGCACAGAGAGTACCATATTTAGCATGCTTGACGGCACGTGAAGGATTGGATGGTTGGCAACTTCATCCACCTCCTTTTCCTCCTATAACCCATACCAGTAATACCAGATTTGACTGGAAAGTATTATTGTAAAAAATAATTAATTTTTAAATACAGTTTTTCTCTTTTTATCATTTAAAATACTAAAGTTTAATCATAAAAGACTGTACAGAATGAATTTTTTGTAACATTTTAGTTCATATAAAGTATATTAAAAAGAGAAAAAGTATTAAAAAGATTATTTTCTGGGTTATTTATAATGTACTACAAAATATGCCAGTCGTCTATTCAAATAATTAACATTTGTAGGATGATAAATACGGGTATTGACTTTTCTAATTCTACTTTTTTCACAAAGGTAGACCAAGTAGAATATACATTTTTAAAAAGAATGTATGAATTAATATTTTGAAAAAGATATATTCTCTATAGATTTCGTACTGGATTTAGGAAATTTTTAGTAAAACGATGTGTAGTATTTATAACCTTTGCCAGAAAAATAATAGTACATTCATAATTTTTGAAAATGTATTTAGAAGATTATGAAATTTTAAAATTTTTTACACTATGACTTGCTGTAATTACATTGTAAAGTTTATGTGATTACTTTGTCAATCTATTATTTATTCAAATGTTTATATCTGCGTGTATTTTGAATGTATTATTACATATACAAAAGTATATAAAATTAAATATAATCAGATTTAGGATCTGTTACTATTATGTTTAGTAAAGATTTACTTTGTTACAAAAAAATCTATGTGTACGAAAATTACGGAAATCAGTAAATAAAATCTTTCCACACATCGCATAAGCCTATAAAATAATAGTTGGCATGAATAATGTGTGAAGATATAGAAGTACAAAATCAATGTAGAAAAATAATGTTATTTACCAAAGAAATATATAAAATGTTATTTCATTACAAGCCAGTTATATCACATGAAGGAACCTATTATTTTATTTATTGCAGAAAGTTTATTCAAATATAATATATAAAAAATTTTCTACATAAATCGAAGTTTAGTAAAAAGTATAATAAATGTAAAATAACATGAAATAGTTTCAACAATATTTTTCAATAATAGAATAATTATACATGTCCACTTTCCTTTAATTTTACAATTAATGTATCAACATCTGGTACAATAACTCCAGCTTGTCTGACTTGTGGTTCTTCAACAGACAAAATTTCAATTCTCGCTGAAGTATCTACACCAAGATCTTTTGCTGTTAGTTTTTTAATTGGCTTTTTTTTAGCTTTCATAATATTTGGCAATGTAGCATATCGTGGTTCATTAAGTCGTAGATCAGCACTTAAAACTGCTGGCATCTTTATTTTAACAACCTCTAAACCTCCATCAACTTCACGCGTTACTGTTAGTTCACTATCATTTTTTTCAATCTGTTTCAAAATAGTAAAATCAAATTATATTAATGAATTTTAATATCATTTTATAGAAGATGCTGTTCAATACTATTGTTTAATGTTTTAACTCAAACTTTTAACTCTTGGATTACCTTGCTACAAAATGTTCCAGTTGGCCAATCCAAAATACCTCCAACCATTTGTGCAGTTTGATTACTATCATCATCTATTGCTTGTTTTCCAACAATAATCAAATCTGCTTTTTCCTCTTGAGCTAATTTGGCTAAAATTTTAGAAACATGAACAGGTTGCAAAGTTTCATATTCAGGTCCAGATACTTCAACATGAATTCCCTTATCAGCACCCATTGCAAGTGCAGTTCTTATTATATCTTGAGATTGCGAGGGACCACATGAAACTGCAATGACCTCCTCTATTAATTTCTTTTCTTTCATTCGTACCGCCTCTTCAATTGCAATTTCATCAAAAGGGTTCATCGAATGTTTTACTCCATCTGTTACAACACCTCTTTTATCTGGTTTGACACGAATCTAAAAATAAATAATCAAATAAAAAGGAATGATCTATAATTGATAATATTTAAAACGATATATTTCTTAAATAATATTTAAATTTATCACTGATCAATTAGCTATTATAATCTTTATTTGTATACTATTTTTACATTTTTTATTATATTAATGATAGCTACCTTAACTGCATAATCGATAACTCTCTTCACACCTACAAGTGCTCGTGTCATTATTAACTGATAAACAGATCGATAAATTATACAACTAAAAGTTATAATTAATTTCTTTCTACAATATCTATCAATACATTCACTATTCAATTTCTTACGTATACAATTTGATTATTTGGTTAATACTTCGTTCTTCTACTCAGTAAATGGTCTAAAGTTCATTTCTACTTTGATATGTACGTTACTTGTGTTGATTTCATGGAGATATTTTTATATAGTTTGCGCTGATGTAACTGAACATCATAACATGGTCATTTCAGATTTTAGATTATAAAATTCTATTTAAAGTTAAATAATCGCTTAAAAAATAAAAAAACAAAAATGATGTTTCGAATTTGTAGGCTGTAATGTAAAATTTACATGTATATACCATTAAATATGGCCTGTTTTTGAGATAACTTCTTCCATAGATCCTAACTTATTTGTGATGGATTAAAGTGTAAAATTTATAATTTATACGCATTATTTATATTAACAAAGATATTTTTGTATCAGTTACATTTATAAATAATTTACAATAGTATTTTTCATTTTTATTACTTCAATATGTTATAAATTAAGGTCATTTTCAATCTTACGTAAAAATAATATATGTCTGTCTTAAATGAAAAGACAGTTATTATTTCAGTTAAAAATACATGTACAAATGATGATCGGATTTTCATTAGAATTATTAATTCAATTATGAGATATATTAAACTAACACTATAATTTAACTTAGATTAATTTAAGGTGTTACTTTAAAAAGAACGCTTAATACATTTCAATTTTTTGAAATAATTAATAAAATAACGTAAGTAATATAGTAAAATAACGAAATTTTCGTTTAAGGATCCAAGTATCCATATATGCGACACAATAAATTACATAAACTTTTAAAATAATTCACAAGTCATTAATTCACGATTGACTTATTATCTTATGTATAATTCTCATTCTAAATATTTGATTTTCTCTGAAGGCTTGAGATTTTTTGACAAAAAAATGAATTTTCATAATTTTTTCTTCAGCAGAAAAAGTCAATAAAATTTTCATTATGTATTCGTATCAGCAAATAAAACATGAAAATAGTTGCATACAATTTTCATATTCTAATGAAATTAGAATAAAAGAGATTTTGAGCGATCGTCTTTGAACCAATCAGAATGAATATGAAACCAAGTTTGCGCCACACATGGCGTCCAAGAACCGACGCCATCTAACGTCTGGCATTCCTGTTTTTTTCGTGCGGGTAAAATCACGGCTTTCTATAGCGCGCAAGCCTTTATCATTTTGTTTTGTAGAATTTGGTAAGTTAAGTGGATATCTTTGATAAATCGAGTATGCTACGCGTACGCCAAATGAAATGTTAGCTGAGAAAAAGCGTTCACGCGTTAAAGAAAGTGTGTGGGAAAATGAGTTAACCGTGTGTTAACGCGCAGTGATCAACTATCCGTGCAAGTTTAGCAAAGGAATATATATCCATATTCAGGACGTGATAACGTCGAGGTAATTGCATATTAATCTTTGGGATGGAAAATACGCTGTTGATTGTTCAAATATTGATAAAATTTCGATCCATTGAAGGTTTCCTTCGTGTTTATGTTTACTCCTCTAATTACCCCCTCCCTCTTCAGCCACCTTCTATGCCTCTATTCTTCCTGAGATTCTCCCTCGTTTTCTTCATACTTCATACAATGTTTTCTTTTTATAGTCTTGCTTCTTTGCCTTTCTTTTTTTAATTATCAAACGGATTTGCTTTATCTTATGTGTTTGTTATTGCACTGACTTCAATAACCAAACTGTATATAAAATAAATCACTGTTTATATTATTAAATTATTAGCACCACTTTATTGAATTATGCTTGATGTTCTTTTGATATTTTAATGAATAATATCAACATGGTACCGAACAAAGAATAATTATATATTAATAGTTCTGTGAAAATTATACTCATACATATACATTTATTTTTTAATATTTTTACATGTATATAAAAAATATATATATATATATACAATGATTTCAATTAATTGACACTGATTTTTTATAAGTATTTAGAAAGACGTATTTAAGCAGTGAAAAATGAGTGCATCGGCCTTGAAATCAACGATACCTGGAGTAGGTACCTCCCCAACCTCTACCAGTCATTCTATTCTTCCTATGACTGCAATGGCACAAAAAGTCGTATCAGGATCAGAACCAGGATCTATGAAGCCTTTACCAGGAAGTGGATTAAACTATGTTACATTACAACCACCCAGTCAACCTTTGAGTTTAGTACAAGATCATAGACCTTCTGTATATCAAACACCACCTTATGTGAGCAGTAATTCTGAAAAGGAACCAGACTTGGATAAATTAATTCCTAATGGAGTAGAGATTATGAAAACTGAGACAGAACAAAATATGTCTTTTTCTATAAAACAGAGCGAATCTAACAGAAATAATAATTTAAGTCCAGATAACCCTACACAAGATTCGCAAAAAGAAGTTCAAACAGAACAAGAGATGACATCTATCAATTTAGATTTCCCTGGTTAGTAAAACTGCAATAAATTTTTTTATTAATTTAAGTATGTGATAAATTCATATTTTGTTCATTGAATGTATTTCATTGTTGCACAGATATTTTCACATATGTTGAATTCATTGTAATGTATATAAATACAAACAATATATATTTTTACTTACGTTATTTTAGCATTATGTCCACAATTGCAAAACAAAGTTGAAGAAAAGAAGACTTCTGTAAATAATGGTTCAAAAGAATCTGATGGAATTCCGATTAATACAACTTTACAAACAAAATTGTCATCACACAAATCAGAAGATGCGTCAGTAAAACCTGACAGTCAGAAGACAAAAACTATAACTCAAAATACGAAACTTACATCAGATAGTTCTGCATTACCACAAACAAATAATCCACCAAAGACTGAAACAAAGGTCACTGGTTCACCAAAAGCTAATAAAAGAAAGTCTAGAGAATTGAAAGATTTAAAAGGAACATCAGCAACTGCAGATGGAGCAAGCAAGCCAAAAAGAAATAGAATTCAAACACAGCCTTATCAAAGTCCCTTACCAGAAATTGCACTACTTGTAAAAAATTTAAACAAACCACCGCCATCAAAAGCTTCCGATGACAAACTTATAGTATTTTATAAGTAAGTATGAAACATAACATTTTTCAAAAATATGTAATGATGAATAATAATAAAAAGTTTGAATTCTATAAATTTTCATTCAGAAATATAATAATTTATATTAGTTTTAAATATAAATATAAACAGAATTAATGGTGCTAATAACTTTTATTGATATTCATTATTAGAAATGAATTTTTGGCTGTGAGAAATGCAGAAGGAAGCTTTTATGTTTGTCAAGCAATGCAAAATATATATAAATCTAGCAGGAAAATTCGTATACGTTGGCTTTCTCAAGATAAAAATAATGGAGAAATATATTCACCAGACTTTTATGATTACATAGGTAATCTTACGTAAAGCAATTATAAATGATAGTCATTAAATTTGAAGTATATTTGTCTTATATTTTGTAATATTTATTACATTACACAATGCAAATTATATTTATTTACTGTTTTCTTTTTCAGATTTTGATTGTATATTAACAAATTTAAATTTAAACAAAATTGATAAAAATAAATTCCAGCTAACCAAAATTGAATTATTACGTACAGAAAATATTTTAAAAAGAGCAATTGATGTTGAAGCTGGTGTGTCTGAAAAACCTCGAGTAACGGAAGAACATCCAGATGGACGTTAGTATTTTTTTATGCTGCTTTTACAAAAAAGAAGTCTTAAAATATAATTGATGTTATTAAAATTTTATTTCCACTCAATTTTAATATGATTCCATTTTAAACTCAATAAAATTCTTGTTTGATATTAATTGTTTATTTATATTTTTGAAATTTTATAAATATGTTTCATGAAATTTGAATGTTAATATCTTATCCACAGTTGACCTTTCACTTTATAAAGATGAATCACAATTAAAGAAAAGAAAAGGTCACAACTTGCATAAACAAAAGCAAAGTCTACGTAAGAAATCAAAACGAGCTGAAAGCTTCTCTGAAGATGGTGCTACTGAAGAAGAATTAGGAAAAAAATCACCTAAATCAAATCGCTCTAAAAAACGAACTATTAACAAAAGTTTGGCAATCGCAAAATCGGTTGCAAAAGGATCTAGTAGAGCGGAAAGAGCATTGAACAGAAATACGAAGTCGGGGAATGAAACTACTGTTGTTACTACCAATAGTAGTACAATTACTACTACTACTACTACTACTACTGCAGTAACTGCATCTGCAATATCAGTAGATAAAAATAATACTGATGTTAAAAAAAGTGAAAATAAAAAGAGCACAAAACAACAGAATAATAATAATACAAGTGGAGTTTCAAGGACAAAGCTACGTGGTAAGAAATTCTGGACTTTAATATATCTTACATATAATTTTTTTCTCAAACTACCATAACTTAATTTTTAGCATCTGCACAAAACACTCAACAAAGCAACAAAGCAACAGGTCGTCCAAAGCGTATGGCTGCAACCACAGGTATTGCGTCGACTGAAGAAGCTGCTTCTCGAAAAAAGCCACGTGGACGAGCATAAAATTAACATAATTTACATGTATTTCCTGTATTACATCTGGAATAGAATCTGTATCGTAGGCAATATGTACACGTAGTACACTCTTTAAAAATTGCGATCAATTTATAATGTAATATATATGATCATATTATCTATCAGATGCTGCATTATATTATAGTCCAACAATGTGGGATCAACAATTTATATAACAATGCGGCAAGTCGCGTTTCGTTTAAACGAAAAAAAAAGACTCAGAGACTTATAAGAGTGATATTGTGATATCATACAAAATTTGTACATATCGTCTACGTTTCAGATTCCTACAGGAGAAGTCACGGAATGTATATGGAGAAATGGTACCTTGTTTGAGTAATAAACTATCTACAGGGTGTCACATGCTAATGCACTCTTGCAATAGTCTATTTTTGATGTTGTGAGTGAACTGTACGTGATTCAGTTGAGTTTAATGTACACTTTCCATTGGATATGATAGCTATGTACAAATATATATATCTGGGGCTTATAACGTACTCTATAAAAAGATGAAAACAGGTGAAAATAGAGTACCAGAGAATGAAAACAATCCGTGAATTATCGATCTCCAAGTTATGGATCGGTAGATTTAGAAGTACAATATCTGTACATTATGCTGAATCCTTGCTGTTTAAAAAAATAGCAGATGAAATGGTCCAGCGCCTATATTAAAAACAGGCAGAGAAAAAAAGTGCCCTCAACTGTAAATCTTTGTCCTGTTATTGAATCCATGGATTCATAAAAGAAAGAATCTTATGGCTGGAGACGTAATGTTTTAATTGTAGTTTATTTTTGAATCATTTATGTCAGTGAATTTGCTAATATAATTCATTGTTATAAAAAATGAAGAGGATCATATTAATTATGGTGGTGTCAAAGTATAATTTAGCCACTTAAACATATTATATTCCTTTCTTTAAAAAAGAAAAAACAAAAAAAAACAAACAAAATAGCACTTATTTACTCTGATAAGTCTGGATTAAAATGTATAAACTTGCTTTATCTATGTATTATTTTATTTTTACAAAGATATGGACAAAGTGTATATTTACTGAGAGATAGATGATTATGATTTACACGTATTCTTCACCAAATCTAAATTCATATATTTTGACGTAGTTTATAGTTTATATTTCATTGGGGATACAAATTGTGTCAATATTGAGAAAGAGAAATTATGTGACTCAATTTATTACGATGTATATTAGATGAAGGTATCGAGACATGTATTTGTTTTCTACATTATTATGATACGATGATACACCTTATATAATTATTTTGCGAAAAAAAGTCTTTCGATTTTTAGAGAAACGTAAATTATAATCGCCTTCTTTTTTCATTAAATATTCGGTTGCCGAAGTTGCGTGCATTTACTTAATGCATCGGCCATTGAACATTGCACAAACTTGAATGAGAAAATGATTTCTCATTTACATGATTTTATCTATGTATGTACATATAAAGATTAGGTAATCAAAATTGTGAAAATGGAAACAAATCTATATGAGCGTTTGGAATCTTGAAGGCTAATGTATCTTATTCATTTGATAGTGTATTTCAATTTATTATGTTGCAATATGTACTTGTGAAAGTTTTTGTCCTTTATTTCAAAAGACATTGAATACATGTACGATGTACATATACTTCATAAGCTTACAACGTTAAAGACAACTTAAGAATGCCGTTTAAATGATCAGGCATATCGACTTCTATAAAAAATAGGATATAATTATAATAAATTTAAGATGGATTTAATTCTCAAGATAGGAGATGAATAAGATACCAATCCTGTCATTGGTCCATTGCATATTGTATTTAAAATATACACATACACATACACACGCACACACACACACATACACATACACATAATGTATAAATTTAAAATATACACAAACGTAATGTATAAATTTAGTAAAAGAAAAAAAAAAATTCTAACGAACGAAGACCGAAAATTTTGCTTATATTGTTATTCGATTTTGCTTTTAAAGCAATTCTGGAAATTAGTTGTATAATATCGAGATAATTCAGAGGACGGTGCAAATAATTATGATTAAATATTATCATTAACGTCGATGGAAGATAATGTATAATATATTATAATATATTATATAATATATTATATAATATTATAATATGTTAATGTATAATAAATTTTCAAGATGAACTTCACTTTATTATTTCGAGAAGCGAAATCGATTACAACATATGACTCGAATAAATACAGCTCTCGATATTCTTCTCGTGAGCCACTTGCAAATTTAAGATGAGAGAATAGTACGAAGGAAACTGAATCGAAAAGCAATGATACATTTGCGTGCGGGCTGATATTTGTTGAGGATACTTAAAAATATATATTAAATTTCAGAGACCGAAGTTTAAACGTGTAGACACTAGATAATTGACCATTAAGAAGAAATCATCTTTCACTTTATACACGATGAACTATAAACTTACACTCATGTGTATTAATTTAGTATATATGAAACAATGTCTATTCAAGCCAGTAAGTCCTAAATTCTGTATTGTCATTATCATGCTAAAAATAATTTGTGTATTTAATTTTGTTTTTTCTCGTGGTTTTCTAAAGTAAGACTGAAAATCGTTGTTCAAAATTTAAGAGCTAAAGATACGCTTGCTATATAAAAATATATGTAAAATTCAAAGTACAAATAGTTTGTCATGAAAGTATCAGATCTTTAGCTCCAAATTTTAGAAACACCGGTTTAAAGTGTTACGTTAAATAAGATATCAACTACCTCGTCATATATGACTTATTTCTTACAATAATGTAAAAATTTCAAATACGTATGATTTAGAGGGACCTTATTTTGTTTGCATTATAATTTACTTGTATATTACATGCGAACACATAACACTTGATATCATTGTCTAAAATGTTCTTTTCATGCTACTTAAATATATAAAAATAACAATAATACAAGAACAAAACTTATATTTATTATTATTTATTTCAGTGATATCTTGTTAAACGGATCTTCGTTATTTTGAAATTTTCACTTGCTTGACTTTTTTGCTTAACGATATCGAGTGTCGCATTTTGTGTAATTAAAAATACTAATCGTGGTCAGTTTTGCAGTGTCAATTGTTTTTATCTTTTGAACAGTGATCCTCCGACAAGATCTGTCCTAAAACACACGAAATCTATTATTGGCTCTTAACTTCTAAGCACTGCTTCAATGAATTTGCAGCGTATGTCCCTAATTAATCTGAATGTCACGATTGCATTCTAATTATGTAATAAGCACATAAACCATATTACGCGTGTCGCATTTAAATAGACGTTTAAATGATTAAATAAAAGCGATCGTGCGATTATCTCTAAGTACGATTCTTGTAAGAATGGATATTTACATAGTCGAAAAGTACAGCCCACATGCGAAATTATCGAGCCATACTTGAAACGCGTTGCTAAACGCTGCCTTTTTATTTCGAGGTCACGTAAATCAACACTTACTATTCGTGGTATAAATAGTAAATGGATAATCTTTGATATTTCGTATAAATTTAGTTGTCATTTCCAATTCGAAAACTGAATCGAATTTTTACAAATTTTATATTATTGTACAAAATGTGATAAAGACAATCTTTTATTAGCATGAAGATATTGAGTTTATCGATATAAGAATGATTTCAATATAAGTTTTATTTTACTCGAGACGTTTTACTTGAAGATTTTATCTAAATATTCCGATAGAATAGCTGTATTAATTAAATGTTAAAATGTTGAATTCGATTCATATTTCTTATTGATTGACAACATACGTATTTAATAATATTTGATATGGCCTACTCAGTACCTAAAATACGAATTATTTGACCAGGAGTAAAATGGTAGAGAATAAAAATTGTATACAAAAACGCGTTTCAAGTAAAATTGGTCCGATCCTTTTGAGATTCATTTTTCTAGAAGTTATTCTATACGAGTTACATGCGATTCTACCATTTGCAAGAAATTTCTGATATCTAATTGTACAACTAATTACAAAACGTAACGAGGAACCTCTACTTGTCGTATCGTGTACTGTTTCCTTTTGTGTACGTTATTCCGTAATTTTATCAAATTAATTAAACCATAAGCTGATGATGGTGCAATCTATATGTCCCCTGTGATTTAAGTTCATGAAAAATTTGAAGAATCAGCGTTTTACAAATAATAAAAGATATTGTGAGTTTGGTGACCGAAGTCAGTTTTTATTCGCGCTATACCTGCACAATTTTCAGGTGAGATTTGCCTAGATGCAATGAAAGCGTGTACAACAAGCGCAGTGACACGAAAAGAGGCTAAAAAAAAATGTTTGTGAAATATACGGTTTTTTTTTAACGATATTAAGACGAAAACACGGAGCTTTGTATGTACATTTTCACGAATAAAAATTTCTGTAAGTTATGGTCGATGTACTGCTCGAATGGCCACCATACAAAGTTAACCCTCGGAAGTCTGAAGCTCGCAGTCCTGTGTCGGGGTCATTTCTGACTCACATGGATATTCCACTAGTCATATTTAGATCGCCTGAGCGGCTCACCGATACTGTGCTGACATAGAATGACGGTCGCTCGAGACCGAGGTCTTCATTGATATTGTACCGACACAGTGACAGACTCACATAGGAACATGTAGGAGCATATAGAAACAAGTAATAATCACATGAATAATAAAGTTATATTTATTTATATTTATACATTGACGAGAGACAATCGCTGTATCCTTGCTAAGTCCAATACGTTGCCAATTACGTCCAAATTCCTGGTTTTCTGGAACTACATTAAAAAACAGTTTCTGATATATTGTCTTGTTGCATTTCGACTTTGGAATCTTGCATTTCGGGTTCAGTGTCACTGTTTGATACACTTTCGTTGTCTTATGATTGTTCACTGTCAGGAACGTCTTGCATATTAAGCGAAAGAAGACAAAAAAAAGATTGCTCGTTGGCAATAAAGGCATTGCGTCAACAAATGGAAACAACAAACAGAAACAACGGAAAAAACTAATACAAAAAACAAAAATAATAATTGCTTCGATTTACTGCACACATTTTTTCTCTTCACAGCGTTACCAGAAACTAATTTCTTTGTCTTCAATCTTCGGCACTTTGGCGGACACGTGTTAGCCACTTGGCATTCGTGTGTTAGTGCGATCAGGTTTCAGTTACTGACAAGCAGCTCCTATCACTGTGTGCGTTATTGCATTCGGTAGCTCTCGACACGGGTCAAAAATGACTCCGATACAGTAGGCTAAGGGTTAAGCATGCACCGTGTGGATCACCACTAGGATAGGTGCCGGAAGTGGAAGTAATTAATATTGTTGTCCTTATCGCACGCTGTTACTCTCCTTGTCTACCGCGCGAATAAGTCTGTCCTTGTCGCACACTATCGCTCTCCTTGCTGCCGGACGTATACGTCTGTCCTTGTCCAACGCTGTTGCTCTCCTTGTTTACCGCACAGATATATCTATCCTTGTCCCACGCTATCACTCTCCTTGTTTACCGCGCGAATACGTCAGTCCTTGTTGCACGCTATCGCTCTCCTTGTCTACCGCACAGACATGTCTGTCCTTATCGCACGCTAGTGCCCTCCTTGTCTAATGATGCTAGACAAGGAGAGCAACAGTGTGCGACAAGGACATCCTTCGATCTATTGAAAAAAAAATTCAACTTTTTACACAGACGTTTTTCTGGGGCAAAACATACGTAGAAAGGAAGCGGGGAACCTAATTTTAACGATCCATATAAAAAAGTTCGCAAATTATTCCTCTTAATTAGGTTTTTTTCCTAATTAGTGCAAACTGTCACAAAATGGGCATGGTGGCGCCATCTAGCGGTAGCTCAGTGGTACTAATTATTTATAAAAACACTTATTTCTGCATTTTACGGGTCAAATGGGGTATGAAAAGAAGGCTAAGAGTCTAATTAGGGTAATACAATCGCCAAAGTTCACAATTCATTTCGCTAAATTAGGTTATTCCGCTTATGAAAATTTCACTGTTTCACGGGGTAAGAAACACTAGCGCTGTGGCAGACTGGAGGAACTAAACGCTCTATAACCACATAAAGAAAAAAATTAATTTTAATTTTTCACGCCACAAATTTGAATTCCACGCGATAGCATTATATTTCAATGATAATGCTATCAATTACGTTCGCAAATAAATCTGAATCTAATATTCACTATAGTTTGCGAGAAATTATGCACTCATCATTGGCACTCCTACTAACGTAAACGAGATTGAAACATTCTTTCTATACGTAAACTATACTCAAACAAAACATAAAATGCAAGGTAAGGGTCTCTAAAATCGAAGACGCAACCATAACAGTTCACAAATGATTTCTCTTAATTAATTTCTTCTCGTAATTTGTGGAAAAACTGTCACCTGTCAGTGTTTGAAAACAATGGTGGCGCCATCTATTGGTGACTCGGTGGTACTAAAAGTAGAAACATCTGTTTTTAGTACAATCAAGTCACCAATAGATGGCACCGCCTGCCACCTGTAAATGTTTAGAAGCAACGGTGGCGCCATCTATTGATCAGTCAGTGGTACTAAAAAAGAGAAAACTCTGTTTTTAGTACCATAGAGTTATCAATAGATGGCGCCACCATTGTTTTCAAACATTGACAGGTGACGACAAGGACAGACATATACGCGTGGTAAACAAGGAGGGCGTTAGCGTGGGACAAGGACAACATTATAAATTAGAAGTGATTGTAATTATAGAAGATGAAAGAACTAATTTTTTTTTTATAGAAAGAATCATTTATGGTGATTCACTTGATCGCTATTTTATGTCTAAACGAGTTCAAATATTCATTGTGTTTGTGGTATTAATCATAGTTCTACCACTTATTTGTATATGAATGTGTAAATGAAAAAGCTGGAACATAATGTACTTATGTTGTATTATAGTGAATAAAGTATTGATAAAAAGATAAGAAGTGATTATAAATAATGTAGATTCCTTGTTTGGCATTATGAAGTAAGGATTTCAATCATTGAAGACTGATTACTATGATTAATGAGATTATCATGTAAGTACATGAGTTTTAGGTTATAATTTTCTAACCTAAATATTGGAAATTATTTATTACACGTATTTTTTAATCACTAGAATATTTGTTTAAACGCTATTTTAAGTGATGTTCAATTTTTATTACTCCATTTTCTTTTTTAAATTTTTTATTAAATTTTGAATTTTTTAATGTCATTAGACTAAAATATTAAATTTTTTTACATTTTTAATTTTATTTGATATATTCCAACATTTTTATTGCATGCAATAAATATATTCATAAATTTATATATAAATTCAATGCTCAAAACAATTTAACTGTTTCAAAAGTAAAAATTATGTTACAAATATCATCTATTATAATAATAATTTATTGTATATATATATGTATTACAGAAGTAAAATGTCCTCGCAAGATACTCAATCAAATTCAAATCACAAATGTTCAGATCGAGTTGTTACTGATTCAGTGCATTCAAGGTTTCGTCCCTCAGGTGTATATTGCAATACGTGCAATATAAATGTTATTGGAAATCACTCTGCCATAGAAAGTCATTTCAATAATTCTCATCCTTCGAAGGAATTTTGTTGTTACTGTAGAGGCAAAGTATTCACTTATATACAAATGTCTAATGATGATTGCGTGGAAAAGCCAAAGTACATTGTTTACCACAAATGTAGCATTAGAAAGGAAGAAGAAAGTACAAGAGAATCTCTTTAAAGATATTAATATATTTAAATAAAATATATATCTCATAAAATTATGCTACATACAATCTGTGCAATAACAAGTAATATGCAAGCACAGGAAAATATTTGAAATTACAAAAAGAGCCTTACAATGACAAATGCAAAAATATATAATATAATCATCAATCAAAAAACATGACATTTTCATCATTTTATATATGAATATTACAACAAAATTTGAGCTTACAAATATTGTTACGATTTATTCCAAGTATAAAAGTACATATATTTATATGTAATGCAAACTTATTCTTTGTACACGTTGCAGTTAAGACAGTTTCTAAGATATTTGTAATAAAATTATTTAATTAATTGATAGAAATTTCTTTGATAGGCGACTGTTCGCAATACTGACAAAAAGGAATATTTAATTTAAGTAGCTATATAGTAAATACTGATAGAAAGGAACGTGAAATTTAATTATATAGTAAATTAATATAATATAGAATATATATAATCAGTTGTGTCAAATGTCGAATACGGTTCCTTTTACGTTTTACAATTGTGCCTAGCATTGCCAATTACGCTCAACGTGATATTCCATTAATGTACTCGTAACGCATACTTATATATATTATTTATGTGTACATGTATGTATAAATATATTTTCTTGAAATTTTGTATCAACTTTTTGATAAATATAAATACGTGAAGGAATTAAAAGAATAATTTTTTACCATTCCACATAGAATATGCAAGCTATACACAAGTTTGTTGATCTTTATATTCAAAGATATGTTGCGATAAATTTCATATAAATAATTAAGCTTTATGTGTGCGGTATTGTTAATAATACTTGCGACCTTAATACTAATGACTTTGGATTGTAATTTGGACTATATACGTACTCTGGTACGTACAAAACAGAATAACAAATTGAAATATGCGAGAAGTCGAAAATGTCGACAATCTGACGATCGGGACGAATCGAGTGGAGTATCTCCCAAAGTATCTTACAATTCGAGATTGGGAATCCCGACAATTTTAAATTACAAAACACGTTTGGGAACCTGATATTTTCGGATTCTTGCATACTTCTAATAATAATGCAACCATATAATAAATAACGTTTAACATAATTCATGCAATAATCAAACATGTTCTGCATATCAATTTTCAATATTTTTATCGATAACGATTTTATAAAATACTTCTTTTAAACTAGATTATCGAACTTTGTGAACTTCCCATCTCGAATATAGTCGAAATATATCTAGTACATTTGGATATCGAAAATGTTTTTGGAATGCTTTTTCGAGAAGTGTCATCATTCACACATTTTTGAAAATGTCTATAATTATTTCATTATATTTTATGTTTATTTTGACTAGATGCTATAATAAAAATGACTTTTTAATAAGCTAATATGCATTTTCTTGAAACTTATTTTGGCTATAATTTATATATTATGTGTAATTATTTGAAAGATTATTCGAGCTATTCTTTTCTGTTTGGTTTCCATTAGTGTGCGATAAGCAATAAAACGATTTTTTTCATAATTTGTAAGTAATATTCGGTTATGTCATAAGAGCTTTACAAATTCTATAACAGTGTATATACTTCTCGGAAGTAAATTAATAAATATTTCGTGTACGTAATATGTATTAACATCGCTTTCAATCTCTGTATTTAGCCTCTTATTCAGCAGGACAATTATTTAAAAATAATTTTAATCTTGTAGGGTAATCTGTCATTACACCTGTAGCTCCAAGATCAAAAGCTTTTTTAAATTCTTCCTCTTCGTTTAAAACCCAAAAATAGACCTATGAAAGTACGTAACGAATATTTCTATACTAATATATTTTCCTAACATTTTAACATATTCACTGAAAGTATTATTTTATTCTAAATTATATTTAGAGAATTACAAGACGATCAACTTACATGTATTCCACGAGCTCTTAAATGATTAAATAAGCATCTTCTCATTAACAATACATTAATAGTCCTTACAAGTATTTTTTCCAAAGGTAAGAATGTTGAACTTGGACTGCCTTTGCGTCTGTAACAGTTCAATGTTAAGTAATTTGATTAATTTCAGCACTAAATAAAATGTTTAATGTACCTTAAATAAATGGAAGGTAGAAATATTTCTAAATGTGTTTCCTTTAGAGGTACAAATGGTAATAAACCAGTGTATAAGAAAACTATCAATAGAATTACACGTCTCATAGAAAATAACAAATTTACATTAGGATTCTGTGGAAAAAATTACTGAGATTAATATCGTCGTAATATTAGTACACTTATTACTCCATTGTAATATATAAATTAATTACCGTTCTATAACATTTTCGTGTTATTTCATCACTAAAATTTCCCCATACAGTGTACTCTTCACGATTATATCCCTTTATTAATTCAGACACTTTGGTTATAAGTTCATCATCATTGACCTTAATGTCAATATTAACTGGTATATTAGGGAATGCTTCAAATACTTCTTTCAATAAAGCAAATCTTCTATCTTCCTCTTTCTCTGTGCCAATATATTCTGCATCTGTTAAACTATAGTTTTTAAATCATTTTATTCAAAAATACAGTTTCTTTAAAAAAAGTATTACTTAAACATACCTGGATCAAAATCTATTGGAAGACGCGGTTTTAGTAGAGGTAGATCCTTGTAATTCACTTCTGAAATACTTTTATTTGTGCCTGTGCTACGCAAAAGATCATGATCATGTGAGACAACTACTTCTCCATCTTTTGTCAAATGACAATCCAATTCCAACATTTCTGTGCCAATTGCCACAGCTCTGAAATAAACAAAAAACACATTTTCATAAAATATTCCATACAGTGGCTCATGAAAATATCACTGTAAAAAAATACATTTATGTCTGTATTGTGCGCGTTATGTAATGCTTCTTGAAATTATTTTGTTAGTATTGTAATAAGACATAACAAATATATAATGAAATTCAAAATGTTTCATATAATTGAATAAATATAATATAAAATATATATCTTATTTTAATTATCAATATACATTACTTATTTTAATTATCAAATTATCTAAGTGTTTTCTTTAAATAATCATTCTTATTAGCTCTTTATGCTGCAATCTTAAGGATTTCAACTAACCGTTTAAAAGCGTACATTGTGTTCTCATAACCTTCGCCTGCCCCTGTAAAAAGAAATTTTTTACTAACAAATATATATGCTTTTTGTGTATATGATGTCATTAATTAATAAACCATGGAGAATCTTGAAACATACCTCCTCTGTGGCTAATATGCTGGCACATAAATTTCACTTGTTTCTTTTTATGTAACAACGTTGGAAATTTAAAAAATATCATTGACGTTAATATATAACCTCCTACCAACGTGAACAACAACATTTTACACTCTTTACACTCTAACAACTTTATTGTTTTTCACCCGTGTAATATGCCGAAGCATGTCGCTGTTGTTTGAACAAACTTTGATTAACATAAATAAATGGTTCAAGCGACAAGTTGATCAGCAGAAGTCAAATTTCAGCGAGTTCCATCCGCGCAACGCACTCCATAACAGCCCCTGTTATATACTTGACACAATTGTACACTTTATAATCATAAAATCACTTGGGTGTGTGAAATCGTACGAAATATTCTTGCGTTGGTTATATACCTTCTTTTTTTTTTCGTACGTATCTGCAGATAAAGCGCATATATATATATATGTAGTCAAATTTTTTTCTCACTCTGTCATTTAATGAGAAGAAAAAAAAAGACACTAAATGTAAGTTCAACTTTCGTTGAATGAGCTTTTTTCTCTCACCAATAGAGAAATATCTCGTAAGCAGAGAGGATTTCTGGCATAATTATAGAATTGATTGTAATTTCGCTTATCGAGCTTATTCGTATTACGTAATTCCAGCGGGAGAAGCCGAATTCTTAATTTCGCGGAAAAATATTGCACGATCGATCACACGCGATCAATTCGAGTAATAAAATTTTTTTTAATTCAAATTTTCTCGTTAGTTACTTTTTAAAGTATACAGAGTGTAATGAAGTACGTTGATTTCTTACTATGTTACACTACTCGAAGAGAAGTAAGAACCTAGATATAACTTTCGTTGAACAAGTTTCCCACCGTCGCGGAGTAGAATCTTTGACGTGATTATAAAATTCTTTCATTTTAATTACATGTATGTCACATCTTGTAGAGAATTATCGTGCGATTGATCATCGTTACTTTGATGCCTGATCGAAATTAATTTCATTCAATTATCCTGCGGTATCCTCATTCATGGATCACGCTTCACACAACTTTTAGTAACATTCTCTTGCCGCGTCTGACTCCGGAGGAATAATAACAGAGGGGAGGTTGAAGGAAATTTGCTTGAACTCGTTAAAAGTAATTCAGACGCGGGATAGATGCGATTGCAGGTAAATAGGGGATTATGTTAATCTGTTGGACACCCATTTTCTCATTCTTAACTCGGAACTTTTACGAATGCACCTGCCAAACAAGTTTAAAAGCTGCCTTTACAAAAATGTGTTCTCGCCAGCGTCTCTCATTCGTTTAACGAGATGTCGGATTCGAATTCGTCGAGAACAGATGCGAGTAGCCTAAGCCTCTCGGGGAACTTACGACAATTTCGATTCCAGAAGAAACAACTGAAACCACTGAACATGTGTAAGAATCTGTTTATTCCTGAATTATAATTTTTGGGTCAATAGCAGCCGGTGTCCATCTTTTGTTGTCGCGCTGATTTGGAGTAATTTCCTCCGTACTCTGTAATTGCTATAGATATATATATATGTATATATTTTAATTAACCGCAACTTTTTTCAAGCGTAAAGGTGAACAAATTCGAAAAACACGCCTTACTCATGTTGCTTAATAATGACAGTGCTGTTGACGATTGTTTTGCAATGCAATTGCAAGCAAGTAATCAAAGTGTTTTTTATTCAGCGGACGATGACAGTAACTTGATGGGCTCTGAGATACAATTTCGGCGTAAGGCGGTCAATGTAATTGAAGACAGCGACAGTGACACAGGCAGTATTGTTAAAAAACCTAGCAACTTGGATCATGCAGATAAGGTACATATATCTTTTGCGATACATTAACAATGTAATGACAGTATACTTTGTCTTGTGTATATGGATATGCTTTTTTACTTTTAACATGAATTTAACTTCTCATTATTATACAGGAATTGTCCAGTAACATGAGCTGGAACAGTGATGAGGAAGATACTAGGAAAAGTAGGAAAAGGAGTATTAAAGGCTCTTCTAGAACCAACAAGAAAAAAAAACGAAAATTGAACACTGAAGAAGATGTGGACATTGATTCGGACGAAGCAAGTTTCAAAGACAAAGTGTTTGATAGGTATGTACGTAGAAACCCAGTGTATCTCATTAATTTTTAACATTTTTTTTTTTCTATTAATGTCTACAGTGATGAAGATTCAGATATGGAAATATCCAATGAGCTTACGGCTGATAAGAAAGCAGTTTTAGAATTTATGCAGAATGCCCTTACGTCAGAGTTACTGTTGATGTCTCAGTGTTCTCAGAAAAAAGCAAATGCTATCAAAGAAGCAAGGCCATTTGAAGATTGGAGAGATTTAGTACAAAAATTCCAAAACAACAAATATCTAGATACAGAGCTTTTGAACTCGGCTCAGGTAATTAGTTTGAGAAATTGCAAAATTTTTAATTCCTACTTGTAATATTATCAAGATAATCAGTATGTTAATTGGCATGCTTCTCTTTGTTGTGATAAAATAGGAATTACTGGCTACTAGACACGCAGTGGAAGCTCTTATGAAGAAATGTCTCCGTTTGTCGACAAATATTGAAAAGGCTGTGGCTGCAAGAGCATCGGCTATTACAAGTCAACCCAAGGCACTGTCCTCAAACTTAAAGTTAGCTCCATACCAAATGGTTGGATTAAATTGGCTTGCTGTGATGCACACGCAAAATGTTAACGGTATACTCGCGGATGAAATGGGTTTAGGGAAAACGGTTCAAATAATAGCTTTCCTTACATATTTGAAAGAGGCTGGCCTTAGAGATGAGAAAGATGGACCACATTTGATTGTCGTTCCTAGTTCGACGATGGGTAGATAAACATTATTGTAAATCCTTGTGATTTGTACCGTCTATTCCTAATTTCCTCTTTTATCATTCCTGTAGAAAATTGGAACAATGAGTTGGAAAGGTGGTCACCTGGCTTGAAAGTTGTACAATACTATGGCAGTCAAGAAGAACGGAAAGACATGAGATTTGGTTGGCGTAACGGTGATTTAGATGATATTGACGTATTATTAACCACCTATAATTTAATTAGCAGTACACCAGAAGAACGGAGATTGTTTCGTGTTATGCCTATTCATTATGTTGTTTTCGATGAAGCTCATATGTTGAAAAATATGGGTACTATCAGATATGAGAATCTCGTTAGAATTAATGTGTGTGTCCTCTTATCGCATTGTGTATGTCATTCCAAATGAATTAAATTATTATGTCGATTACTTCGTAGGCTAAGCATCGAATTTTGTTAACGGGTACTCCCTTGCAAAATAATTTATTGGAATTGATGTCACTCTTGATATTTGTGATGCCTTCACTGTTTGCTGGCAAACAAGCAGATTTAAAGAGTTTATTTTCAAAGAATTCTGTAAGTATTATATGTAGAGGAGGTAACATTTTTAATGCAAGTTATATATTATGGAATAATATGTGTATTATGATGTAGAAGACACCATCAGTGAAGAAAAATGGTGAACAGCCATTGTTTGAACAAGAACAAGTGAAAAATGCAAAGCAAATTATGAGACCATTTGTGTTACGTCGGCTGAAAACTGAAGTCCTTCGGGATTTACCAGAAAAAAACGAACGTGTGATTAAGTGTCCAATGATAGAAAAGCAGCAGATGATGTATACTAATCTAGTTGCCGAATTTTCAGCCGAGGCTGATCAAAGCACTGAAGTTAATGGTATTGGAATGATGATGCAGTTGAGAAAATTGGCCAATCATCCTCTTTTAGTACGGGACTATTACAACAAGTCCAAGTTAAAAGTATTCTTGCAGTTTCAACTCTTATATTCATTATGAATGAATTTATAGCATGCGATTTTTAACAATTGACTTTTTCATGTTAGATAATATCGAGCAGACTGGCAAAGGAACATTCGTACAAGCAAAAAAATCCAGATTATGTGTTCGAGGATTTACAATGGATGTCAGATTATCAGATAAATCAGTTGACAAGAACGTATAAGAGCTTAGCTGGACTGGGCTTACCTCAGGAACTCATTGCAGAAGCTGGAAAGTTAAAGATATTGGACGAATTGTTACCAAAGCTGAAGGAAGATGGGCACCGAGTATTAATTTTCAGTCAATTCACCATGATACTAGACATTTTAGAAGAATATTTAACAATTAGAGGACGAACGTACTTAAGGTTTGTGTTAGTAGCTTTCATCTTTCTATATTTTTCATTATTTTTAACCTTGAATGTGGAAACAGATTAGATGGAAGTACTCCAGTGACAGACAGACAATTTTTGATAAATCAGTATATGGAGGATGAAAGCATATTCATATTTTTATTATCTACAAAAGCTGGAGGCTTGGGGATCAATTTAACTGCTGCCGATACTGTTATAATTCACGATATTGATTTTAATCCATATAATGATAAGCAAGCGGAAGATCGTTGTCACAGAGTTGGTCAGAAAAGGTATGCCTTAAATTATTAGTTTACATCTTACACAATAATGTAAAAAACATTGAAAAAATATTTTAAAATATATAAATATATTCAAATCTTTTAGATCAGTTAGCATAATTAGATTATTAAGCGGAGATACTATAGAAGAAGGCATGTACGAAATAGCTCAAGACAAATTACATCTTGAACAACAGATTACTGGTGAAGAAGGTAAGTGCTATAAATTTGATCTCCTTTGTAATGTAGCATAACACACGGAATCTCTACTTACAGAGAATGAAAGCACAGACAAGAAGAGTGTATTAAAATTACTTAAGATGACTTTAGGACTAGACCACAATAAATCGTTATCGTTATCTCCGGTGAAGAATGCGAAAACAAGTAACGGGTTATTGAACAGCGAATTGAATCAATTGCAAATTACAACATAGAATTTTAAAGATAATTCTTAATCTAAACATATTTTGTACTAGAAAATTTAATATCATTTTTATATACGTCTTAAACTTTTGTGATAAAGTACAATGTTGTAATTGCGCACAGAATAGAAAGAAAAGAAAGAAAGATAAAAGAAAAAAAAAAAGAAAATTGAAGATCTTGCAGTTATGTCTTGCATGTTATTTTTTACTTCAATTTAATTATTGCCTACGTAATACTTAAACTTGTGATTTTGAATGATGGTATTTGTAAACTGTGAAATTTAATTTATATTTCGCTTATACATGGCATCATTTTTTTATTTATACAAATATACGTAGTTTATTTCGTACGTTATAATATTTAATGATATATTTTTTGCATAAATTATAAGGGAATTATTAAGACTGCACAATATTTACCAATAATACAAGAAGTGACAGAAGAATTGCTGAAAGAAAACGAATAAGAAATTGATTATAAAAAAATTATAGGACATAATATCAGACTGGTATTACTGTACACACATTCCTGACCGAAGAACTTGATCTTTGTACAAAATCATTAAAAATATTATACACCTTTTTTGTCAGAGTTAATTTATTAATACATACGTTAGCATTTGAATAGAAAATTATGACTTAGTAAATTTAAAAAAGTTATGGTTAGATGTTAGAATGTTAAGAACACATTATGAATTTTTGTGGTACTTCGTAGTTGTAGTTATTAGATTACGCGAGTATCAGAATTATCTTTATGTGATTCGTTATTTTTATTTTTATCGTTTGTCTGTTGTTTAAATTGCAAAAGTTAAATAATTTTAATACAACTTTTAGGAAATACAAGTCATTTAAAAAAATCAATTTTCTTACGGAATATAATTGTTTGTATATTGGATGTAAATTGCACAAAAGAAGAAAAATTCCCTGTAACATTATTCAAATGTCTTTTCACTTTTAAATGTGGATACTGCATAGATGTACATTATTTACAATATTTTACGTACTGTAACAAATTGGACAATCTATGATAATTATCATATCAACAAGAAGTCAATAAATATCACGGAATAAATTTCACGTTTATCTGACATTATTCAATCTTGATAATCTGTGACGTAAATCGGAAATCGCAAGTTTCCGTGATTAGAATCTGAAATTGTGGAATGCTGTTATCAGGCAGCTTAAAAAACTAGGAAAATTCCTGTTGACATTATATCGATAATTTTCCATCCATTGTAATGTTAACGATCAAATCAAAATCTTCGATAAGTATGGCACTCAATCGTATGATTATAAATTTTCAATTATGCTTTCATTTATAATTGATTTTGTCTCGATTTAATTAATAACTTGACGCGTGAAGCAATTCTTAATTTTGTAAAGTTACTATTTTAGTTATTATTTTAAAATTTTCAAAATCTTGAAATCGTTTCAAAAGTGAGTGATCGAAATTTAAGGAGTGGGAAATGAAACATACGACGGTGATGGAAAGAGTAGAAAGAAAAGAATGAAAGACGAAAACTAACTTATAACTCTATTGACATATACTAATTTATAGCTGCGATACACAATGCCATTTTATATGGAAAATAATTATATTTTTGTCAGGAATTAAGAAAAATGGCTATGCAAATAAGAAAGGTTCACGTTTAATTCAATAAATAATTTTTGTTGCTGATGTAACATTTTTTGATTTTAATTCCTATTACTAGTTACTAGGCGCTGCGATGCAAAACCTGCTTAAATCGATAAGGTAGGATGCGACACGAAAATGGTACGTGAATCAGGTGATTCCTCTAACTTTCACACAGGACGCGAAAAGCATTGGATGTCCAGTTTATTCAATAATGTCATCAATATTTACGACATTAAATTTGATTGCGTTTCTATTGGACGCGACAAATTGTTCATCAGTTTCATCAATTGAGGAACTAGAACGAAAATTAATGTAAAAGTAACTAATTCAAACATAGAAAATGATTAAAAGACACAAAAGTATCTAGACATAGTACATTATCTGTGTTCATTTCTCTTACGATTCTTGAATTTTTATAAGTCAACATTGCTCTTACGGTAAGTCATTATTGCCCTTGATTGAAAGTACTTACATCTGCATTTCGTTCGAACCTACGTTACGTTTCAACATCAAAATAACGAAGCGAAAGAAACTCCTCCTCCTATATGACCCGAGATGCACATTGTATTTCAGTAGCCGTTGCTAAAACACAGACAGCGTTTAAATATTTGTTTCTAGCTTTACTTCAATATCTTCTTTTACCTATCCGTTATAAATGAAACACTGCAGGAAGAGAGGAAGATATTTGACGTGAGAGAGCATCGAGGATCCACGAAGAATTTTGCGTTACCGATCGGGGAAAATTGGCGGCAATCGCTGGACGTCTAAAACATCGTGGCTGAAGAATTGCGAAAGATGAATCGTTACAACGATAAATGAACTCGTCTTACCTCGTAGTCTTCTGTCAAAGGTACATATATGTATGTGTTTACTTGTGCAGGATCGTCGCTCGTCCCAATCACGCCGTGAATGACCAGTAAATGAAATGGCAACGGGGGCTGTGTGTGCCGTGTGCGCGGCGTTTGAACGCTATATAAATAATACTTGGCGCGAACCCTGATCAGTCGAGTTGCGGCGGTCGTACCTGTCGCAACACACAATAATGCATCGTACCATAACAAACTGAAACCGGTTGTCCTTTTTTTCGCATTTTTTCCGCTACTTCGCGTACTCATTTACCTTAACCTTGTTCCGTTCCGTGGCTGCGTCGTGCGACTCTTACACATACGCCTATACATACATATATATATATATATTTTTTTATTTTATTCTCTTTTGACGCACCGCTTCCAGGTGAATTCCCTCGCCTCTCTCTTTCTTCGCCCTCTCCTTGGTCTAATTCCCTGGTGTGCGAAGAAGAACTGACCCGCTGAGAATGTCGCACGACAATTTAGGATTTACCTCGAGTACGGTGAGTGACATTATTACTTATTTACTTCCGCTTACCTTGTTTACTCGTCGAACATTTTTTCTGCTTTATTTTTCCCTTTTCTCTCGAGGGAGCGAATTAGCATTTAAATTGCGTCGATATGGGAGCGCGATCGATCGATAGAGCTGGATTAGCGCTATCTTTGCGCATCAGCCGTAATTTTTTTGGGGGAATTTTAAACTGCGCGCATCGATAGAAAAGAGACCTCGTTATCGATTAGGTGAACCAGCGTTATCTTTTTTCTATCGTTATCTGTTCAAATTGAAAGCCTTCCGATTCAGTTTGAAGAATTTTACTTTGCCCTCCCCCTTTTGATTTCACTTACAATTTTACCTCGGTCCAACTGCTTGACAACGCATTCGTGTTTCACGTTTTTTCGTTTCAAGAAAGGGGAATCAGAATGAACTCTACAAAACGAAACTTGACGTTCTATAAAACACGAGGGAATTCACGACAGTACGAAGAAACAGTTTATTGGATTAATTCATAGACGTTGCGGCCTAAAATCAATCTTTGCAATCTCCAACATTGGTAAATTAAAGTCTAAAGTTTTTGTTTTTCGGGAAGAAAATTACCCGCAACATACATGTTATACATATTAAATAAATTTCGTTTTTTAGTCTGATTTTGTTCGAAGTTATGATTTTGTCGATGACAATCCTCCTTGATATTACGAATATTTCTCAGGTGAAATTTCTTATTCAGCTTTTTTTGAATTTTCAAACTTTGGAGTTCAATTCTCATACTTGTTGCACTGTTTATACTGTTTCTAAGACTCTACTTTTTTAATATATAATAATTACAATAATAATAATTATAGCATCTACTCTTTTAATATATAATAAATTATATAATAAACAAGAGTTGCAAATACAATTCATAGTATCATTCACTTTTCACAGGTGTCGTTACACATGTTCTTCACTTTCTTGACAAAACTTTGCATCTCTTTTCAAATTCAAACCCACTACCGATAAAGATACAAAGACTCTACATTAATATACTATGTTTTTTAAACGAAACGAATAAGATTAGTGGAATTTTCATTGCTAATTACCGTGTACTCGACGATTGCTTGTTGATCGATCGATCTCGAGAAGGGAAAGTCCCTGCCTGAATGAAAAATTCTTTACGTTGAAGGACGATATTGACCGGAACTACGTGTCACGTGATGCAAGTGCTCGTGTGTTATGCGGCGAAAATTCGTGATTTAAATCGAAATTCAATCGATCGAGTTTTTGATGAAGATTCTTCTCTTCCCGATGAGATTTCGTGTCATTAGATTGTAGAATTCGGTAGAAAAAAGTGAACCGTTTTTATCGAACGGTCGGTGAAACTGCCTGTCCTTTCTGTTCAAGATCACTGTTCTTTCTCTTTCATTTTTTTGCGAATTTCAACCTTCTTCTTTCGACGATTTAACTCGTGGCTCGTGGACGAGAAAAGAATTAACTAATTTCGTGGTGATCTATAATTCGCCTGCAACGACAGTTGATACTATTGTCAAGAAACTTTTGTCCAGATCAATCTCACCTCCTTTCTACGATCACATCGAGTTCGATTGCTTAAAGATCGAATTTTTCTTAAATCTTCAAATAAAAGATCTTATCTTATTTAGTATCGACTTGATGTCTCTATTACAATTAGATTTGCGAAAAGATCTTAAATTTATAAAGGGAAAGAGAGAAGACACGGAAATTCCGGAAATTTCTTATCCAAATTAAATGTCGAATTAATCAACTATTCCAACCTTTCTGCAGTCTTTTCTTTTATTTTTCGTGCAATTTGACTTGCTCAAAATTAGCTATTTCATTCAGACACGAGAAATCTGATAATTACTGTAAAACTGAAAAGAGAAATCTCCAACTTGAAATGAATAAAATTGACGTCGGCAGTAATAATATTAAATATTATTTGTTAATATTTAGGAAATATAATTATTCAAAATTAGCTATTTCATTCAGAGACGAAAAACCTGATAATTACTGTAAAAATGAAAAGAGAAATCTCCAACTTGAAATGAATAAAATTGACGTCGAGAGTAATGACATTAAATATTATTTGTTAATTAGGAAATATGCTTGTTCACGCTGAACTAATTCCTTAGGTTCAAGAATCTACGCGTTATCGTAGATAATCGCTTGCTCTGTCGAGACGATAAGTGAGAATTCGGTAATTCGGTAAACAGATCAGTGAACCTCGTTCAAACAGAGGTCGTTATACATTGTTGCACGCACAGAGAAGCGTGCGTAGAGGAATTTATGTTAAGAATGTCGATAATTCCCGTGTTGATACTGTGGATTTAGGCATCAATGTGAGCGATTAAAATCATTGACCGTAAGACGTTTATAATATCTGTTCCAACGACTGTAAATCTATACACTCACATCCGATGATACGTATATAGATAGTATGAATTTTAATACTTAAAAATGTGTGAAATGTCAAATAACTATTAAGTTACGTAGAAACATGAAAAGTTTTGGAAGAATTGAAAGATTAAGGATGTAATTGAAATAATATTATCATTGAAATTATATGTCACGTGTCCAGTTTTATAAATTATAATAAGAGGCGTAATAAAATTTTATAACTCAGTTTTACGGTAAATATAAAAATAATAATACAACATTAAAATAAATATAAAATAATATTAAAACCTTATAAATCAATTTTATAAATGATCTTTCGATCATTTTATAGAATAATAATAATAATAATAATTTCGACCGTTTCATAGAATATTAATGAAAATCATCGAGATTCATAATAATAATTTCATAATTCTGCTTAATTACGCTCCTATCGAAAGATTGAAAATTTGAGAATTTACGGAATCTGTGAAGTTTCGCAATTGAAAAGTTCGAATTAACCATCGTGAAGTTTCGTTTGAGCCGATTTATAGCGAGCAAATCGCTTGCTAAGTGTTCGTGTTGTTTTCCTTGAGACGATCCGACAGACTTTTACTCGAGGAAAAATGTTCTGTTACCCTCTGGAAATCTACTTTCGTACCGTATCTCTAAAAAGGAGAAATGGAATTTATTGGCCTCAATAACAATACCGGCCGCGATATCAAATGTTTGTTACACCGATTGTCCGCTTGGCTTCGTCACTCCGACCGGTTGTCTTGTTTTTCGTAGATCGTATTATTTGATAATGCTCCTGAGCGAAAAATCGTTCGAATGGAACTGTTTTGTTTTTAGGAAACATTGATAAGTGATCAGTAACTGGGCTAATTGATTCTTAAAATATTCACGTGTACAAGCTTAGAAAATGGACAGACTATAAGAAATGTATATTGTAGAAGTATATGATAGAATAAAAATGAGGTTTGATAAAATATGCAATCTTAGTTGGCATTTGTTACAAAATATTGTAAATAGACAGGTTTTCTATTATACAGGGCGGGCCGAAAGTCACTTCCTATTAAAATAATTAATAATTAATCCTAATTGCTCTGGCAATTTCAACATACTGGAAAAATCATGTTTGAACTTTGATTTAATTTTAAAATTAACGAAATTGGTTTTTCCTTATATTTCGATGTTTTACTAGAAAAAGAAAAAAAAAAATAGTTGGGAAGAAACTTTTGTTATATTGTAAATTATTATAAACTGTATTATAAATACAGTATTGTAAATTCTGTATTTATCCCACTCTGTATTATAAATTATTTTAAATGTTATTGTACAGTGTAATATTATTGTATGTTATTATTATCATAGATATTCTTATAAAAATTATAAAAATACTCTTATGAAATGAATTGTACATGAATTTGATTCTTATAAAATTAAAAAAAAAAATATAAATATTTTTAACTGTAGTAGATCGAACCACTAATATTCGATTCTTAATATCTGCTTTTCTCGTTAGGTATGATGATGAGAAGAGACGTGATATTTAGATCGTAACATGGATAATGATAATTAAATTTTGGTAGTATGACTACTTCGTTATTATCTGACACTGTATTGTCGATTATCATCGTTATTTGAAAAAATTCGAAAATCTATCTTAAGAAAGGTATATAGTATCAGTATATAATATCGTAGAGATATAAAGATAAACGATAGCGATTTCAATTAAAACTAGCGAATTGTTGAGATTATACACTCAAAAATTGCTACTAACTACTGTGTAAGATAGTTGGATGTCAAGTAGATTATCTTCTTATTTCATATATAATGTATGGATTTTTTCGGTAATACTTTATTGAGCATCATCAGCTAAAAATTGATAATTCGTAGTTATTTTTAAAGAATTAACTGATATTTTTTTATTTTAAATAAAAGTTTGCTTATGTGATCGACGAGCATGATTTGATAGTACAAGGCAAAACAATCAATTTCATCATACGTATTTCATCATACGTATTTTACTAATTCACTGTTAACAATGATTTTAATAGTTTGTAAATTTTACTACGAGAAGATAGATACTGTAGACTATTGTTCGTAGATATTATAATATTTATTATTCTCTAGATATTATAATATTTACTATTCTCTAGTCTACGTATAAATTTATTAATATAATTAATCCAGGAAGAACCAAGAAATAAAACAATGAATTACCGCGAAATAAGAAATTTGAATAAAATTTTCGAGAGGATCTCTTTAAAACTTTCTATAAAATCGTTTGATCACAGACCGGTCGAAATTCGCAGAACAGTTTTGACTGCGTTCTAAGTGTTAAAACTTTGAAAATCCGCTGGATTTAACATACACAAGGAGCTGAACTATTCCGAGTAGTACTCGAGCGAAATCTCGAGGGATCTAACATTTGATAGAAGTCAGATAAACACGTTTGATAGAGGTACTTTCGAGTTTCGAGTGACTCTAGAGTAACTAACACTCGTGTCTAACCTTACGCGCGTGTAAGTCGAACGAGGAAAACAATAAGCAAATATATGTTTATCAATATTCCAGGCGATATAACAATCAACTTAGGGTAACCACCGAAATATGTACCAAGAAGCTATT